CATCTCCTACATCACATCACATGACATCACTTAACATCACACCTCCTAACCACATCACGTGACATCACTTAACATCACATCACTTAACATCACATCACGTGACATCACTTAACATCACATCACGTGACATCACTTAACATCACATCACGTGACATCACTTAACATCACATCACGTGACATCACTTAACATCACATCACGTGACATCACATCTGATAACATTACACTGCATAACGTCACGCCTCCAGACACTACATCTCCTATCATTTCATTACATAACAAAACATCATAATCACAACATAGTAACACAACATTACATCAGTTAATATAACATCACATCAGTTAATACAGCATCACATGATACAACGTCACATCACAAGTTTGTCATCCTATTACTTGATATAGCGTCATATAAAATTTTGTTTATTCTTCTTTAAAAGATCAGAGCCTGACAGACGCAGAAACTGTTGCAGCATACAAGACAGTACCATAAAACGATAAAGAAAATTAAATAACGGAGAAAAATTGTTTAAGCATGTAAAGTATGGAAAATAAAATAAAGTAATGGTTTGAAAAGACAAATAAAACAATTAATTAATTAATTAATTAATTAATTAGTAAGTTAAGTGATCGATGAGAAAAATAAGAACAGACAAGATTGAATTAATGAAAAGTTTTATTGAGTGCTAATATGTTTAAGGTGTCTTGTGATGAAGATCTTATCCTGATATGTTATTTGAGTGGCGACTTATTTATGTAGCAAAACCAGACCGGGAAGGAGCTGCATGTTTGATTCAGTGATGTCGAATAATTTGATGCCCTATCATATATATATATATATATATATATATATAATATCATATATAATATCATATATAATATCATATATAATATTATACATAACGTGATATAATATCATATATAACTTGATATAATATCATAAATATCATATATAACTTGATATAATATCATAAATATCATATATAACTTGATATAATATCATAAATATCATATCGCATAATTTACCATAACATCACATTACTCCATATAATGTAACTTCACGTAGCATGATATAACATTACATAATACAATGTAAAGTGACATTACATAGCATAATGTAGTAAGATGACATTACATCACGTATCATCACATAACATCACGTGACATTATACAATGTAACTTCTCATCTCATCATATTACGTCACGTGGCTTCACACAGCTAATGCATTTCTCTGGTCAACCTTCACTTTATCCTCATATCCGGTCTATTTGATTTCCGGTTTTGGAGGCTGGCTATCTTGTTTAATCGATCATGAAATTATTTATGATCTTTGTCTTGTTGGTTTTTATTGCTTTTCATCAGGCTTTATATTGGCTGTATATTAAGAAGGATGTTAATGTTCATTGGGGATGGATGTTTGTGCGAATGTTTGTGCGAATGTTTGTACAGATGTTCATGTGTGTGTTTGTGTGGATGTTTGCCTAAATGTTTGTGTGAATGTTTGTGTGGATGTTTGTGTGGATGTTTGTGTGGATGTTTGTGTGGATGTTTGTGTGGATGTTTGCCTAAATGTTTGTGTGGATATTTGTGTGAATGTTTGCATAAATGTTTGTGTGAATGTTTGTGTGGATGTTTGTGTGGATGTTTGCTTAAATGTTTGTGTGAATGTTTGTGAGGATGTTCGTTTGAATGTTTGCCTAAATGTTTGTGTGAATGTTTGTGTAGATGTTCGTGTAAATATTTGTGTAAATGTTTGTGTGAATGTATAAGTAAATGTTTGTTTGAATGTAGAGAGGATGACTGGGTTGACAATGTTGAGATATTAAATTATTCTGATGACAATAGAAATGTTGATGACCGCGATGTGTTGGTGATGATGACGACGACGATGATGGTGATGATGGTGATGTGAGTGTAGATGATGAAAATAGCGCTTGATATTACATCGCAGTATTAATTTTTTAATTTCCAAGGTTCCTCACTCACCTCTTCGCTTCTTGCATATCTTTGTGGCTGTTAGTTGAGCCACTTAATCTCTCGTATGATTGGTCAGCTGATGCAGTTCCGCTCGTGACGTCATCGGATGACGTCAGAAATATTTGTTCAGCTTTTGTAGTGTTTGGGGCGGTGACGCTGTTTTGCTTGACATTTAAAGTTTGTATACCTTGTATACAGTATCTAACATCAATTTCGTTGTTAGATTGAAGTGAATTAAAATTATTTTAATGAATTTTTATAAAAATTTTCAATAGAATTCTTCCGCTTCTTCATTTTTTTTATCCTACGCACTGTTCTTCTGTCCGTTTTTATTGACAACGAATCTGTTCTACACGGTGGGCTACGTAGTGGCAGAACGAGCCATGTACCTGCCCAGGTTGGTTGAATTGAATTTTTATATCACACCCTGCGTTCTCATTGGATGACTAGTAGCCAATTAATTCAAATCACACAGCACCGGTTTCATCTTATTGGCTGTCCAACTTATTCAAAAATTCTCTGATTCAAAATCGATGAAAGGGAGATTGACATGCTACGGACCAATTGCGTCGATAATTTTGGCAGGGTATCTCTGTTACTTGGCCAATGTAACCAGGACACGTTGTGAAGTTTGGATGGACAGATCCTCCTTATATAGGTTCATATGTGACGCTGTCAAACCATTTTCAGTTAAAAGTTTTTAAATTATGTATCTACGTATTAAGCACTACTTTAGTCTTTTTTTTACACTTCCAACTGGAGACATTTTTAAACAGTTAATGGCTTAAACTTTTTATTTTGTAAATTAATGAACGAAATCTGTGACGATCTCTGACGATCGTGATAGATCAGCAGTGTTGTCATCGAGAAGACCTGCGAACGCCAAACAACTCTACAACCTGGCCAACCTGCTTCGAGATGAAGGTCACTTTGGTCAAGCTGTCCAGTACTACAAGCAGGCTGTCCGGTCAGTATTGAGGAGGTGGTAGAAGAAATATGGAAGTGGATGAACGAAAAAAACGAATGAATGGATAGATGGATAGATGTATGGATGGATGGATGAATAACTGGGTGACAGCATGGAACGGATAAATGATTGGATCTTAAAAGTTACACAATTTCTATCATAATTTTATGGCATCGTTTTTTTATCATCTCAATGTTATAGATTATCTCACGCTTTTCAATCTTATCATCGCATATCATGATGTCGTCATCTTATGTTTTCGTAACACCACCATCATGATGTGTGTGATTGTTTTAATTGCATTATTTTAATACTCCCACCTGCCATCATCGTATCGCAATTAATTTAATATTCATCATCTAATCGTTCATAATAAAAGACAGTGGCCTACTTTTGCAAGTGCTAAAAATAATTTAGCACTCCTATTGGACGATGTCGACCAATCAGAGTTTCTGTACCGTGACGTCATGAGGTCGACCGTTTGCCACACGTCTGCCATGATCAATTTAGCTAATTTACTCAAGTTAGTTTTCGTTTAAAAAATAACGGGATGAATTATGAAAAAGTTAATAACAATAAATAAATAATAAAAGTGTTCAAAGAATTAAAAATAAACAATAAACAATAATCCTTGTTTCCTGCCCAACTATAATACATATGAACAAAGTCAGAAGAACCAATTGGATGAATCCGTCATAATCCTCTGGAAAATAATTCAGTGTCGACCAGATCTGAAAGTACCTTACATCGTCCTCTCGTCAATCGCAAGCAATCTCAACCAACACAGCCTTGTTAAGCACTACACACGAGCCATCAACGACATCAGTTCCACAGACCATCAGAAGCTGAATGAATCTCTCTTGCTGGAAACTGTGGTGCACCTTTGCAACATTCATGGGGCCAATGCGGAGCATGGAAGGGCCCTCAAGATGTTAAGAAATGTTTGGAGGGCGGGTCTGATCAGTGAGAAAAAAGTTTTGTCCCATCTCTACTGGAGTTTGGGTCTTCATCTGCAAGATTGTGGGATGGTCGAGAAAGCGATGAAGGTGATTATAATTGTGATGATGATGATGATTTGGATGAGATGAGGATGAAATGATGGTGATGAGATGATGAGGAGGAGGAAGAATTGGAGGATGATGAGGGTGATGCTGATGATTACAAGAAAGTGATGAGGCTGATAATGATGATGATGGTGGTGAACAAGGGTGGTGTAACAATGATGATTTATTTAGCAGAGTTGGGCATGTGAATGTCTGTTGATGTTAATACAAATAATTAAATGATGAAAATATAAAATGGTGATGACGATTGAATGAATGGTGTTTCAAAAATGATCGATGCTTCAAGCAATACGAGAGGTCGGTGGTGCTGGGTGGTGAGGTTTCATGGGATGCCACGCACAGGCTCGCAGTTTATCACCATCTAAAGGTTGACGTCATCATCGTCATCATCCCCATCATCCTCATTATCATCATCATCATCATCGACATATCTAACCTATTTATGTTAGCATCAATATTATCATCGTCATATCAATAACATACTCCTAAACATCATCCACATTAAATAATCGTTCATTATCATCATTGCCGTTTGTATGAATCTCTGACGTTATTATCTCCCACATAGCCATCATTCCTTCGTATTATTATCGTCATTATCGTCCTCACCAAGGTCTTTATCGTCGTTGTTATTATCATCATTATCATCTAATACATCACTGACATCATCATCGACTTTATCACTATCTTCCCTCATTGCCAACCCACTTAATCATCACCATTATCATTGTACAATCGACAAACACGTCATCATCATTCAATCATTTAATCATTTATATCAGGGTAATCTCGTTGATTCGGACCGCTACTACAAGTTGGCTCTGAGGCAACGCCCTACCAACAAACTCCTCTTATCGAACCACAATAAATTAAAATTAGCCGTCTCAAAGATGAATAATGGCAAGATGGGTGCTGGTGATAAAGTGACTGATGATGCTGATGTTGTTGCTGCCGGTGGTGGTGGAGGTTTTGGATGGGTTAATGGCGGTGATGATGATTATGATGATAGTTGTGGCGATGATGATAGTGGTCGTGATATCATCTATCATGATAATGATGAAGATAGTGGTCGGGATATCAACTATCATGACAATGATGAAGATAGTAGTCGGGATAACGTTAATGATGATACTGATATCATTGAAGGTGATGATGATGATGGATACGATAAGGATACAAACATTGATGTTAACAAAAGCTACAATGATGCCTCTTTAACGTTCCTGTATGTTCCTAGCTTCGAGTTGGCTTACAACGTATCTCTCACGACAAACAACAACACACAATTAACCAAGCACCGAAATAATAACATCAACATCGAAGTTAGTAGTGTCCATAACAATTCTATTAATCGTCTTGATTCCAGCAACAACAACAACAATGACATCAACAACAACAACAACAATGACATCAACAACAATGACATCAACAACAACAACAACAACGATTTCAGCAACATGAGCTGCATTAAGAACATTCTTTCACTTGTTTCATGGTTGCTCCTCCAATAGCGCTTACGAACGCAATTGTGGCTAACCACACACACACACACACACACACACACACACACACACACACACACACACACACACACACATACATACACACATACACATACACACACACACACACACAACACACATGCACACACACAACACATAAAACATCTTTCTTCCTTCCTTCCTTTACGATGACGTCAGAAAGAGACAAGCACACCGTAAGGAGCAGGCAAACGAACGAACGAACGAACGAATGAACGAACGAACAAACGAATTAAGACATCGCTACTTAAACGTGACGCTTATTAATTGCTTTTTAATCTGTTGAATTCATTGATACAAATGATGATATATTTTTAGGCCCGGTTGAATTGAAAACAAACTAATTAATTACGTGCGTCTTGGTTCTGCTGCTGATAAAAATAACGGATATTTCGATTTAGCTTCGATAAATATTTTAACGCGAGAAAAAAAAACTCATTTTTGGATGCCTCTCTGCTCATTTGTATTTACAAGCAATTTTATTTCATTATTTTTTTTCAATAGGCCGGTTTTCTTTCCACCTTGTTATGTTGCTTTTGTTCTTCTGTCGGAGATGATTGCTGGTTGGTTGGTTGTTTTGTTGGTTGGTTGCTGTCTTGCCGATGCAAAGCACGTTGATTAGACTGGAGCGAACGCTGCATGAATATTTTATACTCTCTTACAATTACTATTTATTTTTTATTATCATTTACATTATTTTATTGGTATTGTTTAATTTTTCTGACAAAATGACTCAGATGACTTGGATGCGAGGGTCAGATGTTCACCTCACTCATCATCAGATAGATCGGCAGTAACGTGGTTCGATTACAAAGAGAATCTTGACTGTGGTTGACTTTCACCCGCTGATCTTGCAAAGCAAGTCTCAGTGCCTAAGATGTTTGAGGCACAGGCGATTTTGTTGGCGCTCACTTCTGTGTTTCTGATTTCTGAGGTAACACTGAATAGAAAAAGTATTATATTCATTGGTTGGCTTGGGAAATATTTTTAAAAAAGGAGAAAATCTATTGAAAATGAGCGATTGCTGAATGGACGATCGTTTAATTATGGAAAACCAGCTAATATCATAAATGTCTTATAATAACTGAAATAAATAAATGATCGTAAAAAATAATTTAAGAAATTAATTAGCAAAAGAAAGTAAGCAACAGAGGAGAGAATGATGATGGTGATGACATAATTAATTGTCACGTGATGAAGATGATGATGTTATGGAAAGAGGTGATCAATTTGATAACCATTATTTATTTATCACCATATAAATATGCTGACAATGGGGACTAAGAACTATAAACTTGCATATCTTTGTAGAGGGGTGAGACACGACATGAGACATGACATGAGACACGACATGAGACACGACATGAGACATGACATGAGACACGACATGAGACATGACATGAGACATGAGATTTCACGACTTTCTTAACAAAGTTCAATACTAGAAACCTCAAAATAGATTAATTATAAGTGAATTAGTCAATTTTATCTCTTTTAAAACCGATCCTTTACACTAATCATTTCATCACTACTAATAAAAATAGAAAATTTCATTGACAGACTAAGAAACATTTATACAGTTCATAATTTGATTCATGTAATAGTCCAGCACAAATTAATTTTTATTTTTTGATCACATTTAAAAAAATAATATTAAAAATAACGTATTATTTTTTTAAATTTAAATTTCAAAAAGTAGGGCTCGTCCGGGATTTGAACCCGGGGCCTCTCGCACCCAAAGCGAGAATCATACCCCTAGACCAACGAGCCACACATCAACTAGAATTGTGCTGTATGATACTAAAAGTTATAAACAATTTTAAAATGCGTGAAATGTCAAGTATGTTTGCTTAATGCTTAATGAAGAATAAATGTATGTATAGTACACACATATACACTGGAGAGCAAACATTCATGCAAGATATTGTAAAACTTCTTTGACATATCCGTCATATCGTTAATTCATTTTTCAGTTTTATTTAATTATTATTTAAATTATTTTTATTCAATTTCTACAGTTGAGCACAATTTTTATATTTTCTTAAATTAATTGTGAAATAAAAAAAAGTGGAATGCTATGAAGTTGATCTAAAATATTATTTTTTCGATCAAACAAATAAGAGGCTAACTCACAACCTGATGCGTGTGTTTGTAGGGAGTGTATACTGTACGCGCGCGCGCGCACACACACACACACACACACACACACACACACACACACATACACACACACACACACACACATCAACTAAGTAAATAACATTAAGTACACCGTTATGAAAAACAAAAAATTTTCAGCTTATTTATTTGCCTCATCTTTTACTATCTTTCGAAACAATTCCGATGTTTTTAGGTCTGTAAATAAAGTTTAACATTAAACCAGTGGCGTCACTAGGGTTGATGTCACCCGGTGCGGTAACTCATGGTGTCACCCCTCTCATGACACCCCATAGACATACAGCATTCTTAGCAAAATTTATAAACACGAACAAGTTAAATGTGCTCGGCCGCGGCGCTTAATAATTCGGACGTCGAATTTGAATGGTATAAATGTCGAATACAAAAATGATTTGAACGAAAAAAATTTTATTCATAATACATTTCTGGGCGCTGGGCGGGTTAGGCTGAATTAATGATAAGAATAATTTCATGGAGGGACATAAAAACATATACAGTGATATTTTGGTGTCACCCCCTGTGAGGGTGTCACCCGGTGCGGTCCGCACCCCCCGCACCCCCCTAGTGACGCTACTGCATTAAACTGTTGAGATCTGACACAATTCACAACAATGTTTTTTCAACAAAAATTGCAGTATACACAATTAAAATTTATTTGAATACTAAAATTTAGAAAATTAAATTAAATTCTTAACGAATGCTAGTTTAGTTGAAATAACTGTTTTTCAAAGTGGTCCTACCTACATAAGGAAGATATGCTCATTAATTTCATGTCATTCGTTGGTTTTCCAAGTCTCAAAACCTTTCCTGAAATTATCAATCGGTTTATTATAAGTAATTTTTTTTACTTTTTGTGAAAAAATCACTTCAAAGCTATCTCTGTTTTAGTTTCAACTCCTCTGCCACCGTTACCGCGTGTGTATCTTGTATATGTACCATGTACCTACACAAACTGAAGAGCACTTGATTCTATGTTTCATTTATTAACATTACGTTAAAGACTACAATACGATGACGACAAACGAGAATAGATTCATGATCACGTGCGCTTCAGACAGTAAAACACAATATAATTGTTAAAAACCAGCCCTATGATGATCATGGTCAACTGGCGAAATAACGATGTTAAACCCACTACGTACCTACCGGTTTTTTTACTTTTTGTGAAAAAATCACTTCAAAGCTATCTCTGTTTTAGTTTCAACTCCTCTGCCACCGTGACCGCGTGTGTTTCTTAAATTAATTGTGAAATAAAAAAAAGTGGAATGCTATGAAGTTGATCTAAAATATTATTTTTTCGATCAAACAAATAAGAGGCTAACTCACAACCTGATGCGTAAATGAATATTTTTAAATATCACATAAATTAATAATGAAAAATATTGTGACAACCTTTTTATGATGTGTTTGATTTTTGTTATAAATATATGGAGAAGGGCCCCGCCATTTAATTCAACACCATGTAATTGAGCGGCAATCTAACTAACAAACACAAAGCAGCCGTCGAAGACTTTACTTTATGATTCTTTAATGTTTAGTAATTAATTTTGGCCGACATATTTTTTCTGCTAAAGAAATATCTCGCTTATTTCAATTTACAAAATGGACACAAAGTCATTAACAATTTTCTAAAAAACTATATGATGGATAAAACAGGTTTGCAGGTGGCACCTAGTGATTTGAAACAAAAATGTTGTGCCATTTATATTTCATTTCTATTATGTTTCGTGTCAACATCGCCAGCTGATGGTGACAACCGTAGACACACCACATTCAGAACAAAAAGTTGAATTTTTTGCATTTGAAAAATGCTAGTCGGCCAGCAGGCAATTTGATCAGATAGGGGGAATGAAGTGGAATAAACAATCACGTGTGGCATCAAGCATGTTGAAAAATGTGTAGAATCATAGACATAGTTTTCTCTCTCTCTCTCTCTCTCTATATATATATATATATATATATATAGAATATATAAAAATATGAAATATATAGTAATATGCAAATAACTGTTAAACATGTATATTGTTGAATATTTTAAAGCTTTATAAAGTGTTATAGGGCGTATTCAAACAACAATTAACTACTTGTTAATTAATTAATTGTTCTTTTTAAAAAAAAATTGAAGCTCATTAACGAAATCACAGAAAAATGTTTTACATTTCGCAGCCTAACCTGTCGCCAACACTCTCTTCAATATCTATGCTGCCGTCAAATTTAAAAAACAATTTCGCGGTTCCGTGCTTCTGATTTTATGCTGCTCTTTTATCGTTATGTTAAATTGTTAAGTTTGTTATTTTTATAAACTACAAAAAAAATGATTTTCGTGGATGATTTAAAAGATGATTGTTGTTTAGAACCTGTATTAAAAGATGAATTAATGAAGCTTGATGTAAAAGTCACAAAAACCAGACATTTTAGAACAAAACCAGTAACCTACTTTTTTCTATTCTATTTTAATTTTTTTATTTTAAAATTTAAAGTGGACCAAAAATAAATATTGCGATATTGGCATTCTCTCTTTCTACTTTTATATTAATTTTATATGGTTATTTGTAGAAATGTGCTGCTGTTAAAATTTAAATATTTACATTAATAATGTTAATCTAATATTCTAAATACTAATTTAATTTGTAATTTAATCTAATTTAATTAATGTTATGTGTTAGTTAATCTAATTATTTATTAATTTAAATAAAATGACATTACCTAACTTAATAATTGACAATTATTAATGGTTTTTTAAATGATGAATAAATATTAAATAAAAAGAAAAGCTAGAAATTGCTTTTGCTTGTTTTGTTTCTTTAGTTTTAATTTAATTAAAGCTTAAATAAAATTTTATGTTCTTCAATGAGTCTTCCTATTACAAACCACAAATTGTTGTGTTGATAAAGATGATGAGAATCTTTTTTTCTCATCACTCAAAATTGCTTCCAATTTTTCATAGTGTTGTTAAGTTAATGATTAATTTATCTTGCATGTAGCCCCATCCATAGTTTTGTGGCTTCCACAATATCTGTGGCTCCCACAGTATCTGAGGCTCAGGATAATCTGCCCTTTATGCCTCCCTTCTGGATAGTACTGCAACCATTCGCTACTAAAGAATAAGGCCTCACACAAATTTTTTGTTGTAATCTGACAATGGTTCTGGCCTTTCTTCTATATATATCTCTTTTATTTTGAGCAATTTTAAGCAGTGCATATACATGACCAACCAAACCATCATAATTTTGTTAAATAACATCCAACATGACAGCTCAACATTTTACATTTTTGGTTGATAGTATAATAATAATAATAATAATAAAATAAATAATAAGTTTCAATAAAATATTAAATAGAATTTTAAATGTTAATTTAAACTTGTGCAATTTTTGTTCACATTTATTTTTTTTCATACTACTTTTTGATAAATAGGATTAAGATAATTATTTCAACAAATTTTCATTATGTATGATATAGAATGATTTGTGGCAGAAGACAGCATTTAACCAGCATTCATCATTGTTTGGAACAAGGTTGGAGTTGATGCCGATGTTGGAAGTTGAATGTGGAGGGAAGGTCCCTTGGTGAGAGTTCTTTATAGCTATTTAATATCTTTGTTGTTCAATGTTTCAGTTAGTTAAGACTGTTGTAAATTTTTAATGCAAATGTGGTGCGTGGAATGTGGATTTGTATGATGCATTGAATAGGAAGAGATAAGAACTTGTTGAAAGAAAATCACAAACATTTCTTTTTCAACATTTTTTTTCAATCACCTAGAACATTTCATCATAACCCTCTATAAATTTCTGATTAATTCTCTATCACATCTTCACTTCTTTTATGCTCTCTTCTATTCATTCTTAGTTTATTTTTTGATAATGTTTGGTAGTTGTTGTTGGATGTGCAAACTTTTCATTGAGGTCAATTAGAGATCAGTGAACTTTCAGATGGTGACCGCTGCTTGTTTTAAATAAAGTTTCGTAGTTGAGTCATTCAAGATGCTGAAGAAACATCTGGACAGTGAGGGCCTCTTCAGGAAGTCAGGATCATTCACAAGACAGAAGGAAATAAAAGTATGCTGCCTATTCCTTGCTGTTTGTAACTGTTTGCTCATGTTCATGTTCGTGTTTGTTGTTAGAAATTGTTTGTTCTAATTTGTTATTTGTGATTGATCATTTTTTTGTTGATGATTGTAGTTGTGTATGTCTCATATGTAGATAATGTGTTTTAATGGCCGAGTGTCTATAAAAATTATTAGGCTAAAAGTTCTTAATTTTGTTTTGTGTTGGCTCTTTGTGGTTGCATTAATTATAACAATATTAACACCTCTGCACATTTTCTGATGTTTTGACTCCTTTATTTTTATTGGCTGATTTGCTTAGTTGATTGGTTGGTCGGCCGGTCGGTTGGTCAGTCGGTCGGTTGGTTGGTTGGATGGTTGGTTGGTTATGGAGTAAAAAATAAAACACAAAATGTTTTATTCAAAATTATGATGATTATTTATAATAAAGCGCTAATTAAAGTTGTTTAACTCAAGTTTCTCAATTTAATGTTTATATGGAATGACATGTTTTTTCTTGTGCCATATTTTGTATATAAACTGCTTATTCAAACTGATATCTTGTTATGTTAACATTATGTGATGTTAACATTATGTCGCATGTTATGTTAACACCATGTTGTATGTTGTTATGACCATTTTAGGAGACACTGAGTATGAACTTTGACCCCAGCCAGCTTGAGGTACTGAGTGCATATGACCTTTCAGACCTCATCAAGTTGTTTCTCAGGGAACTTCCTGAACCGCTGTTCACAAGCAGATTGCAAGGATTCTTTCTAGTCTGTTCTTCCATTGGTCAATGCGAACTCATCCAGGTTTGTGGCTGTTCTCTGCATGTTGATAAGTTGTTGATGATAGTAAGTTCCTCACCCATCACAACAGACCCAGCTGATGTTGTGCCTCCTGCTCCCACGACCTCATCTCCATCTACTTCGTTACTTGTGCCATCAACTGTACATCGTCAGTGAACATTCACCCATGAACCACATGAACGCCACCAACATTTCCATCTGTTTGGCTCCTAACATGTTCAAACTCTCTCACTCACTTCACAATGCTGGTCGGTCAGTCTGTTTATGTGTGCTTGCGTGTGTATGTGTGTGCTGTCCATGCACATTGTGTTCAGTGTGTGTGTGTGTGTGTGTGTGTGTGTGTGTATGTGTGTGTGTGTGTGTGTGTGTGTGTTTATGGATGTGATCTGATTGTCCATGAAGTTTTATATGTAAAATTGATAATTCGCATATATACATGTATCAACTGCAGTTTTTAAGGCTGCTCCCAGTTTTAAATTTTATTTTGCAAAGGTTTTGGCTATTCAGTCAACATGTGTTTTGTTTGAGCTCAATTCAAGGCACACAGCACCATTTAGAATAATGTTTACAATTGACTAAATAGTTTAATCACTCATGACTTGTTTTCATTTTAACAATGCACCAGTCTGTATGCTGATATAATCTCAACTTCAGGATGTGTAGTTTCAAAAATAGCATTTATGGATTGTTTCTTGATACTTATTGTAACTGTTGATACCTCCTCATCAATGTGATCAAATAGAAATTTCACATTTACCAGATTTGAAGTTAGCACAGAAACAAGCAGACGTCTTGAAGATATTGGTGGAGAATCACAACTTGATTGGCATGCTGACTGATGACATCGTTGCAAAAGTTACTGAGATGTCCTTGAAGCAACAGAGAATTAATAGGTACCTTTGTGTGTTTTTGCTTGATCATGTTTGTTTTGTTGTCAATTTTATTTAAAAATTGTTTGGATTTATAGTAATTAATCCTTGGAAACCCTTGTTCATATTACATTTATCATAATTGCCATCATCAATAGTTATATATAAGCAACTGACCAACAAACTCAACAGCAGCTTTCTGGAAAGCACAAACTTCGAAGGATGCATTCATTTTGGAGATGAGAACATAAGCAAGGAAATTGATCTTAGTTGTCGTGACGTTGATGTTGGTTGTCATGTTGATGATGTTGCTGGTTGTCGGGGTGGGGATGCTGAAGCCGGAGGGAGGACATCTAGGATGAAGAAGAGGAGTACTTCACTGCAAGGTGGTTACTACTTCGTGGCTGGTGGCTGTGGTTTGCTCTGATGATGTTCAACAATAATTTAGATGCTCTGTTTTCAGTTATATCATAATCACCACTGAAGTTAGTTTGAGGGTGATGAATGTAGGAAGATGGTGGACGGGAACTTGAAGATGATGAATATGACGGTTGATTGGAGTTCGATGTTTTCATCAGTTCATTTAATTTCTGTTTATTTGTTAAATCTTAATTACATATTTTGACCGCTTTTTATTGTTGAACTAAGGTGAAACTTTGCGTACCTGCTCACTCCAGTTTATGAAAAAAATTAAAATTACACAATAAATTGTTTCAAGTACAAAATATTTGATCTACCATTGTTGCTTTAAAATCTGTATAAGTAAGAGAAGAAATGAGGTCAAAGACAATAACTGCTATGAGAACTTTTCTTTTCCAAAGTTTGATTTTCTGTAATCATGAATGAAATAGAATGAAGTTAAATTTTTATAGATTATTTTGCAATGAAAGGGCCACGTTTGTTGTGCAAGATCTGTTCCAGACTCATTTATGCATTATTTCTTTCAAATATTTGCGAAGTTACTACTTTTTTAATTATTTTCCACGTAAAACAATGAGATGTTTATTGATATAAAGATGAACTCTGAACATATTACTTCTTAAAGAAACTTATTGAAACTTTCACAAAAACTGTAAATTATTTCATAATAAAATTTCATCATCTACATAAGGGTTGGTGAAAGACATAAGTGCCAACTTCACACGTTGGAGATCGTCCAGCAACAAAAGGCAACAATCGTTGACATCCACTCCTCAACAACTTTCAACGAACAACCTCAGGGAGAAATCAACACTTCAATCCAGATCGCAACATCCGACAGCATTGCTGCAACAACACGAGAAACATCAACATGATCTTGCAATAACAGAGGGCCACAATTTATTCAAGCGTAGAATCAAGTTGGAACCTGAAGTGAGGCCGATAATGATTAAGATGATGAAACGTTCCGATCTGACTCCTTCATCTGCTGGACCTCTCTCTCAAGACAAAAAGTTTATTGATTGGTTTATTTGTTTGGCTGGTTGATTTGTTGATTGGCTGAAAATAATCAGCTGATTGATTGATCTTCACAGTTGACTGGTTCAATGAAAAATGACATTTTGTAATATCTTGAATAATGTCAAACTTAGTTTCAAGTTTTGGTGTGTAAGATAGATGAATGACTGATTATTAAATTCTTTCTTAAATATGTGAGATAATTCTTAAATATTGAATATGTATATGCAACAACTATAAGATTTGAGCATGTGTGATGTTCATTGCAACATGTTTACGCTGTTTGTTGTGATTTGTAGGAGAGCTATCTTGACGAATGTCATGCCAGATGTTGTACCCATCAACAACGGCAACAACAACAATAAACTCCACAACAACATCGATAACATCAACATGGACAACATTACTGCTAAAAACCACAAAGTTAAACTCTTGAATGACATTAATAGTAACTTTCATAATCGCATTAATATATGCGACAATGTTCAGAGGGGTCATTATAATTTTAATGTCATGAACAGTAACAACGACAATGACAACGACAACATTTTGAACGAGAACACAAATGCATCTGGATGTAATTCAATATCAGCACTGCACAGAGATTTCATGAAATCAACACAGTTCTACCTGTCTCGACCAGTTACTTGTCCTCCGACAACTTTCACATCCACTTTCTTGTATAATTTCAAAAATGAATTTGCCACGACATCTTCAACGAAAATTTCGATAGCAAGAGGTGTTACAGCAGGAACAACACTGACAACAACAACATCCTGTGCAACATATCTTGCATCAACACAGGACTGCATAGGTTAGCTAACATACCTCACATCATCAACAATATTAACATCGGAAAAACTTTTCTCTCACAAGCCCTATAAGTTGCATGCATCCCTAATCACCCATCATTAGAATTATAATAATAATAACAATATGCTGTGATGCACGTGTGTGCATTGAGTCAGGTTACAGTAGTAACGTGGCTGTAACAGCTTTAAATTATTCATTCAATAATTGAATCTATACAGTTTTTAAAAATATTCAAATTTTTGCATCAATTGCTTCATGAGATAAGTTATTCCAATTGTCGACAAACGATTTGTAAAAAACTTTTTTTGGCAGTTTTCTTTTTTAACTTTTTCCATTCGTAATCTTTTATTATGTCCTCTTGTTCTTGGGTCAAACACGAATATCGGTTCATTATGCTAATTTATTACATCTGTGCCACTTACAAATTTGTATATCTGTCAGCAGTGTAACCAGTGATGTCACAAACGTTGTTCAAAAATAATTGGTACTTTATCTAAAGTGTCCAATTTTGTTTGTCCTGCTTGCATCAATCCACAACAACAAATACGAAATAGCAATGTTTTTGAAGCCATTAAGATAGAGAAAGTCACATCGTTTCAATATCTAGGGGATGTTCTGGATTGTACTGGAACAGCTGAAGCCTCTATATTGATGCGGCGTGACATCCCACTACCACTACTATCAAAACTTTATAAATCTGTGATACGTCCGGTCCTGTTATATGGTGCAGAAACATGGCCAATGACAACCAAACTGGAACAACAACTTCACCGAACCGATATGAAAATGCTCCGATGGATGCAACGAATTAGTCTGAAGGACAGCATCAAATCTACCGAAATCTTGCGTCGTGCTGGTTTAGATGATATAAAGGACGCATGCCGGCAACACCGTCTGCGGTGGTTTGGTCATGTCAAGCGAAGTAGAAACAGTGCCATAACTTCTCTTGCAGATGTTGAAGTACCTGGCACACGTCCCAAAGGCCGTCCAAAGAAGTCCTGGTCGCAAACAATCGATCAAGACATGAAAGCTCTAAATTTAAATGAAATGGATACAACTGATCGTCTAATTTGGCGCAAAAAAATTGATGGCAAAGAAAACAACGTCCTACCTCGGGAAACTGGGTCTCTGGACGCTAAACGAAGATTGATTGATTGATTGGCTCTTTTGGTAATAGATAGTTATTGCAATGATATTTTTTATTTCTGAGACTCAACATTCAAATTCATTAAGTTGGACAGCAAGACAAAATGTAACATGTGATCTTGTCATTTAGTGAATCATTTACCTAGTGGTGTTGTGATGTGGCGTGGTGAAATTGTTGCTGGTTTAGAGCAACATGTGTAGAGTAACTGATAGAATTGGGGTTTGGATTACATCTTGTTGATCTTTACTACAGAAGTGGGCAAATCGCGAGTTATCAGTTCATTTTATGCTGCTTACAGATATCAGACATATTTTGTAAATCATCTTTACATTTTAAATATATTTAAGGTAAAAAATTGACCTGCCATGCAGCAATAATGATTGAGAATTGTAAAATTTGAGTGCTGCTTTATCTGCCTTTCCCCAGTTTTTTGTAAAAATGCAAAGTTGACATCCGAAAATTAGATATTCACAAGCCAAAAAAGTAATGAATGACGTATTATTTATAAAATATCACGGTCCAGATTATGCAATTTAGAGTGTATCTAACTGAATGCCACAAACATTTTCTGAGAGTTAACTATGTCTACTGTATTTTTATCTTACATTCATTAAATATCCCATAGTATTTTAATTACTGTTAAATGAAACAACACATGTAAGTCTGTAAATTTTATATTTACAAATTTTATTGAACAGAATAGGTTAAATGCTTTAACAAAGTTTTTCTTTAGAAACAACAAATCTGTACTTTCTTATTTAATTTATGCTATAATTTTTAAATTAAACAACTTCTTATAATGCTCCGGATCATTTGACTTTAAAAAACTGCTGACCTTGCCACTGACAGCCTGGGTGATTGGGAGTTCTGCCAAGAAAAAAAGTAGTTATTCAGTATGGGAATATTTCATAAGATACCTGAGACCAAGTTGAAAGGTTAATGAAGTGTGGTAGAATGGTTTGACCATTTGTTGTTACAATATTCTATAAATTCTACCGAATGTTTGGCGTTATATATTATATATGCCATAATCTTGTTATTTGAAATGAACTAGCTAGCAAGCATTAAAGATTTAAATGCATATTATTACACAGTCACGGTTTTATTTAATGGCAAATGTTCAAGAGGAACACACATCGTGCTGTTACGCTAACCTAGTTTTTTTGATAGATCCTCGATTTTATTTGTTGCTTCTGCTATGTCTGTTTCAGAATTAATCATCATCTCTATTTCTCCCACAGCGTATCCACTATCTGTCACATCCAGGTCAATTTTAAATTTGTCTTGTAGTTTGTATGACTGTCTGTGCGTCGTCATCTTACAAAATGGTTGGCAGTTACACAGTTTTAAAAACTCTGCCAAACCACATTTCTGGTTTTGTGAATACTTTTGATTGAGGACAGGCTCAATCAAGTTGACGATTTCATCTTCTTTCTCAGTTTCCTTGTATGATGAATTGAACAAACCTTCCTCGAATGTTCTATGGCCAGTAGGACTCTTCAGTTGCCAAACTTCATCTCTTTGTCTCAACCAAAAATTTTTTGTTGTGAGACAGTGACATTCAGTGTCATAGTAGACATCCGTGAATGATTCCCGTTTGATCAGCTTGGCTCCTAATGATAGCATCTTATTAAGTATTTCATCATTCACTACAAATTTCTTCTCTATTTCTATCATGTTTTGTTTGCAGAGATGTCTGTTTGAAAAAATATAGATGTTTCTCTTAATTTGTTAGTATTATTTATTATTAAAATTAATATTCAAACTCTAGTATGACAGACAATGGCATAATAAAAATGGCTTGAGAAGTTGAATAATTTTATTGTCAGCGTTTAAACTAATTTTTACAAAGAAAAAATGAACTTTCTCACACAAAAATTATTAAAAAATCGAAATACTAATATAATAATAATAATACCACCACCACCCCACCACCCTCTTCCACAGGAAGAAAGGCCTCTGAGGATCATATAACATTTATGACGATACATTTCTCTAATTTTTATGATGTTACATTTATTTTATTTCAAGTAATCCTTTGCGTGTTTAAATATTTTAAATGTTGGTTAACGTGGGACAGAGATAAATTTTTAAATCTTACTACTCTACTCTACGGCTTGGTATTTTTGATATGTTTCAACAACAATATTTTAACAACAAGTACAAAAAAGATAGATATCTATGCAAATGTGCTCTGAATTAAAATATTTTATTGAGTTGCAAAATTGTGAACTGATTTTTAAAAAGATCGCTTAGATAAATGAAATTTATTCAAAAAGAAAATTGTGTTATTGAAATTAATTTGGTAATCATTTCAGAAAATTTGGTGCACAAAAACAACATGAAGCAGCAAGAAGAGTGTCATGTTATTGCCAGTGAAAATTCTTGTACTGATCTCCATGCTGACGAGTAAGTGATGGCTTACTGTTATCTTACTGCTTACTGCTTACTATCATTATTGTTTCTATCTATTTGTTATATAATTATTTTAGTTACATCTTCATTCATATATCGTTGTTATACCGTTCGTTTTTTGTCATTATGATATAATTTTAGTATTGTGGAGATCCGGATTGGATCCACGCGTTGGCTGAGAGTTCATGTCTTTAGGTTTATATAATAATCACTTCATAGTGATACGGTAGTGTAATGTTTAGATGTTCATTTACTTTTTTTTCACCCAGTAGAGTCGTTGGTGGTCGATTGAGAAGAAGCTGGAATCATTTCGTGAGGAGAATCAGTGGTGGTAAGGATGATAAGGTAATTATGAGGATGATGGTGATGATTTTGATGTTTTGTATCAGTGTTTTTGATGGTTTTTATGCATCGTGATAGGTCGAATATATATGAGCTGTTAGATAGTTTCGAGTAATTTTTGTTCTTGAATTCTATACGCCCATATACGACCTCATGTGATCTTGCATGATAACTGTAATACTTCCATGAAGAATGTTGTTTAATAGTGAACACTGATATCCCACAGCAGCTGACTGGCCTCGAGAACTTGTACTCTCCAGCTCTGCTCCTTCAACAACGTCGTCGTTTTAATTCCATTTCACGTAATGATGGTCGCGTGCACGATGATAAGGGCAACAGTGTCGATTGTCCCGATGAGGAAAATGATGGCCCTAGCGTTGACCGTGACCGTGTTGGTGGCATGCACCCAGACACCACCCACTCCAACTTGCAAACATGCGTCAGTGACAGTAAAATCTCTGACCGAGGAGGAAACACTTACAAACATCCTGCAACAGTGATGGAAAGGTCTGGTTGCATGGAGACCATCTCAGGGACTGGTCAAAACGCACTGAGATCAACTGCACCCAGTGACAAGCATGTTTGTGTCAATGTTCAACATTCTGACCATGACAAATTGGCTTGTGAATGTTTCTACGAGGATGTTTCAATAAACGCTACTAAAGGACGCAATGGAGGTGATGATTTAAGCTTGGAGAATTCTTGCGTACCAAATAACAATTTGCCATCACGAAACTTACATCTGATGAAGCAATACTTTGAAAACAACAGAAACTTCGGTGGGAGCAGCTACAAGATTAAATCCAAATTATACAGAAACGAGTGCAGATTAGAAATTCTAAACAACAACGCCCTGGCAACGAAGATGAACAATAACATAGCTGCTGCAACAGGCAGAAAGTCATGTGATGATCGTCATAATCGTTTCACCTATGGAAAGGGCAACAACAAGGTAGATGGCTTAATGGGACATTACAAAATGTCCAGATCACGGCTGTTGAGTAGTTCTAATGAGGTGTCACAAAACATAATAACAGCCACAACAACAATTGCAGCTACAACATCAGACACCTGTTATGATTCAATTCGTGATTGCAACTGTAAGACATCTCAATCTCATAACCACCACCAATCAGTGATGGCGTCAGTTGGAAAGAAGTTGACTCATCTGAAAAGATCACTGTCCTGGAAGCAGAAGTACCACACAAGGGAATCCAAAGTTGATGATGTCACCGTTGATGCATTTTTTGATCGTGGTCGACAGGTACAGCCATCCATCTGTTGGATGGGTGACGGAGATGATGTGGATAAGAACAAGGGATATAATTATCAGAATGATGAGGAAGATGGATGGAGTAACGACGATGACGCTATCCTTGGTAGCCATGCTCGTGGTTGTGGTGATGACCATCCGGCCAGAATCTTTCATAGAAATATCCATTCATACCATCGGCGAGAAGTGTCAGCCAACTTGACAAATCAATTTAGAAAGGCTTGCAGAATTGAGCACATTCCTAAAACAAAGGAAAATTTGTTTCAACGCATCGATGTTCCAATCATTGGTCACCAAAACACTCAACACGGAAATGAACACACGGCCATCCAGGGTTGTTACTCCACCAAGAAAGGACTCATAACTTATTCCTACGTCCCTCCATCATCTTCGTCTTCCTCATCGTCATCGAAATCGTTTATTTCTAGTCAAAAAAATGATTTTTCTAAACGGCGTGAGGCAGAACGCATTACAAACTTGTCTGTTCAAAAAACTTGATTGTATCTATAAACCATTTGTTCTTAAGAGACAACCTATTTTTTAAACTGTTAATGCTCCAAATTCTGTTACTATTTTTATGGTTGTTACTTTGTTAGGATCGCAAAAGAGCTTCAAAAAAATATATACTACATCCGTAGTTTTACAGCAATTGTAGTGATGACTTGTTCAATTTTCAATCCTCAAAGAGTTTTATTTCTCGTAGTAATAAAAAGCTAATGGGTTATAACGATAGCAAGCGAATGATCATTACTTGTTTAACCAATTTTAAACAATAAACTAATCACATCAAAACGCTACCAAAATTTCCTGGCTGGCCGCTTCAAATTCTTGTATCGCTTGTGTGTCCGATATAATTGCAAGGCAAACCTTCAGGTCTCACTCGCTTCAAAAAATATTTATGATAACTTATAACTAGAATAGTATGTTGTGTAGAGTAAATAGTAAGGTCGTGAAACCATATAAACTTATTCCATTGAGTATGAATTTGGCCTCTCATTCTATCTTTCAAGGAAAATTTAATCTAGATTTTAAATGTTACCGAGAAAAACTAAAACGGTAAAAAGACTGCGCAATAAACTTAAATGACACTTTATTGAAAGAAGTTTAAATTTTATTTGAGCACAGCACACGAACGAACAAACAAGTGATAACAGGAACGAACTCGTAAAATAGATTTCTGACTGCAACACAATTAAAAACTAAAACGTCAACTACATGAAGAAATTAATACTAAAAAAATCAAATAATATCAAACGATAGAGGTAAGTATCGAATAACATTCATAAACAATAAATAGAACAAATTGAAAAAATCTTATGAAGCCATTAAAAAACAAAATGAGATTGAACAAAGTGGATGTATGGGGGTGTTAAGACTTTGACGATGGTGCATGTAATAAATGAAGATACATGCGAACTTGCTGAGTACAACAGTATACAACGCCACGCAGACCTGCTTGTGTTTCATATCTATCAGCTTGCAACTGCAATATGAGTTCCCCTCAGTAATATTCATCATCATAACTTTATACATTTCTGCATGTGATAGACGTCAATTTTTTTTATCTCAAGAGAAGATTTTTTTGAAAATTTTGGGAGCCATGATAAGAATGAAGGAGGAGGGGGAGGCGCAGGGACACTTGGAAGACTTGCTTGAACCTTTGGGAGACTTGCTTGAACCTTTGATGTGCACGTTGAGGTATTTGAGTTGGGAAGTTTTGATCTATCAACTCTACCTGTTCTCGTTGACTTACTGCATGATTTGTCAATTGAGCTGTTTTGTAAATCCAATTCGTCGCTTCTTGGAAATAGGTTGTTAATCTGAAAAAGTTAATAAAAAATATTATCTTGAATATTTTCCAATATTTCAAAATATTCCAAATAAGCAATGTGTTAAAATTATAATCAGAAACAAAACTTCACAGATTGTAGTCGCCAGCAAATGTGCATGTAGACTCACAGTGAGATTTTTCAATAGACCAGATGCTGAACCGGCACTGACGATTGGGTCAGAAAATTGATATCCTTTAATTTATAAAATTAAGACATTAATTCAAACCGAATTTTCAATACTACAAAAAAAAAATCAATCTTTTTATACAACAATGTTTATCACAAGGACAAAATCAAACAATTGATATGTAATTTAATTAAATAATAACCATTCAGTAACACGTGTTAACATAAGAATCAACTTGCCTAGATGCCTGTAGAAGTCCTGCTTGTCCAATGTTGTCAAGCAGAGTGTTTCTATCCCCAACCTTGTTAGAATATGCCAAGAAAGCAGAACATTAATATAGCCCACTTTTTATTAATTGGGAGAACGATGTTAATTGTCTATATTTTATTAATGGTATTGACCATGAACGTTTGATGCATTTCTCAAAAAATAATCATCAACTATTAACCATAAAGCACTAGTGATAATAGTTCAGTCATTGACGAAAGTGGAAATAAAAAATAAGACGGAAATGATTTGAACGTTGTAATCATGTCAACAAACTTCAAGGCATGTTTTTCTGTTTCCTCCATCAACTTCCTGCCCAATCCCTTCCCTCTGTGTGACTTTGATACAACAACTGGTTGTGATGGAATGATGTTCTCATTAATACAACGTTTTTTGAAAATATTTAGTGAGTGACAATTTGTAAAACATTCAACAAGTCTTCAAAGTTGGCATTATGCATTATGGCATTATGCAGGAAAAAAGAACTAACCAGTTTCCACAAAAGCAAAATTTTTTTTATTTAGCACGATGCTTAATCTGCTATGACCAACTACTTTTGTTCTGGATGAGTTTGATCTTAAAATGAGAACAATATTGTATGGCAGTGTTGGACATGACTTTTCTAACATCACTTTTCTGAAGATAAAAATAAATAAATAATATAATATATATATATATATTATTGATAAAAATCAGCATGTTCTGCGTTGGTTTGATATAACAAAAAAGCTTTTTTCAGTATTCCTATACCATCTTCGTTGTTTGAATTGATAAATTGATACTTTGTGCAATATGACACTTACGTGTCATCATTATATAAGATTCCTCTGTTTCTAAATTTATTAGTGGGAAAGATTCCAAATGCCAGTCGTTGAATATTTATTACCGAATGTCTTTGTTCTATGAGTATTGATTCGGCTAGTCGTAAATTATAATGGTTGTGATTGTAATGTAAGATTTCAACATTGTCCATCATTCTTAAAATAAATAAAAATTTTTGTTTTGAACTCAAGAAACTAGAGAATATTTACGATCAACCACAAGAAAAATCGAAAAACTAAAAAGGAAGGTAACTAACGCCGAACATGCCATGATTTTCATCAATAATTGCATTATTGACAGTCTTAATCCAATATATATATATATATATATATATATATATATATATATATATATATATATATATATACATATATATAGCATGATATTATAAAAAACCGGGTTATGGACTACCGTTTGACTACCATATATATATTATATATATATATTTATATATATATATATCTGATGTTGATTCTACTATTAAAAAGCTACTCAAATGAGCAGCGATTTTCAACAATTTTTGCTTCAAAAAACCTCATTCCTAATTATATTTATATATATATATATATAACTTTAGTTTATTATGCCTATAAGAATACCTCTAATAATTTCTCTTCTTAAAATCGTTTATGAAAATTAGAAATCCTTATAAAAAGTTTGTAGGAAACTTGAATTTAACGATATTCTTTTGATATAGATGGTCTAGGTCTTGTGGAATTCTAATTGACTAATTTCTAATTGACTTAATGTAGACATAGCAAAATTTCTTAGCAACAATTATTAAAAATACACCAAAATAACAAAAGGTAACAAACAACAGCAACCTAACTGTTCTACTCCTTCCCCACTCTTCACAAATGATATCAATACATCCCTCGGTGTACTCACGATGTTCATGCAGAGCTACACCTTCCACCACTTCATCCACATTGCACATGCTTCAATTTTTTTTAAATAAACTTTATTTTTAAATATTTAACAATTTTATAAAAATAATTAAAAGGAATAACCAATTTCTTAGTCTTACATAAAAAAATCTTAAAGTGAACCGTTGGTATTGCTTAAAATTTGGAAAAGCTGGCTTTTTTAAATATATTTTAATCATATTATTTTATTAATTATATATACATATATATATTTCAAAGTCAACAAATTATATATATATATAATACTATAAAGACACATATATAAAAACATCAATATATAAATATTTATACATACATAATTTTACATATAAATAAATATATAGAACATCAATCAATCAATTTTAATTAAATCTGTCGGACTGATATATAAATTTAATTATATTATAATTTATGTCAGGTTGCATATATATATATATATATATGTATATATATATATATAATATTGTATGAATATATATATATTTATATATAATTAAATATATTATATATAAATATATTTATACCATAAATTTTATGATTGTTAAAATAAAATTGAGTTTTGTTCAGTCAATCAATTCATTAATGACATGCACATGAACAATATATTTTTATATTATATGATAATAATATGAATATCTAAATATGACATGTCCAAACAGCAAACAACTATAATTTTAATTGTGATTGATTTCAATTGATGCCTGATTGCAATCACTATTCAAGTAAGTTTATTTTTATATACAATAGAATAGAATAGCGAGAATAAAAAAAAATAAAGTTTATAAGTAATGAATCAATTATCAATCAGAGCAGAAGTGATCAAATTCAAAAATTACATATTAGTCTGTCATATCAGAAAAAATCTAAAATTAGAGTTAAACTGACTTTGAAATTACTTTCGTCTCCACAGGCATTGTAACAAAATTAAGACTTCAATAGAAGCACTTAAATTTTGAACTTTAGCTTAATTATAAGTATACCATTTCGTCCTTCTTATCTAAAACTAAAGTTTATTTTTAACCAAAATGGGCGTATACATTGAACAAAAATCTTTAAGTATCTTATCTTGAGTATCGTCACGGCATATCTTATATGTTTATAATATATATATATATTTATATACATGTATATATATATTTATATATATATATATATTTGCGTGAAAAGCAAAAAAGTAGATGAACCTGAAGCTATGACCATACCATACCAAAACGATTAATTAGTAAATCAACAAATATTTCCACTTTTTTTAAACTTTAATTATATACTTAGAGGCTGTCCATAAAGGATGTCACGCTTTATTAACGTTTTTTGACCCTCTCCCCTCCCCCGTGTCACAAACTGTCACAAATCTACAAACCCCCCAAAAATAAACATGTTACAAAATTTTACCCCTCCCCCCTCTTAGTGAAGAGTCATTAAACAATGTAATTGTTACATGCATTTTATTTTTTTATTGATATCAAAATAACGAATGACAAGTTTATATGACGATAGTTTGATATCTAAATGCTTTAGCGTAGTTAAAATATAACGAATTAATATTAACTTCTACACCTACACAGCGGTAAACTTAAACGATGGCATTTAAATTTAACTCCTCCTTTCATGCGCTATTTGCTCGCTTGAAAAATTTAATATTCAACGTGACACTTGCGTTTACTCCACCCTTCCCCTCGTCAAAAAAGTGTCAGAAATATTTTGACCCCCTCCCTCCCCTTGAAGCGTGACATCCTTTATGGACGGCCCCTTAGAATACTATCAATCAATCAATTAGCTTGTTAAGCGCTATTTTCGCGATGTTCAACAGCGCTCCTCAATGAATTTTGCAAACAGGTGGGTCTTGAGATCCGCTCTGAACTTCATAAGTGATGGAGAAGTAGTCAGAGAGGTAGAAAGTTTCAGAGAAAAGGGCCAGAAAAAGCAAAAGCAGATTTAGCAAAAGAGTGTTTAAGATTGTTACTAATACATCTACTGGAGTATTGATACTTCTACTGGGAGAAGGTATTCATAATAATTCTACGTTTTTGAAAACATTTTCCACATTATTTCAAATCGAAAGGTGGTTCACTACATACGTATAATGTTTCTCGGGCACTTCCCATTATAAACTTGCAAGAGCGGCAATAACGTCAAACATCCACTATATTTTAAAACCATTGATGCAAGATTGGGAGATTTATTTCTTTAGCTAGAGCAGTGATTCTCAAACTTATTTCTTCCACCGCCGACTTTAAGGTAAAACATTTTTCTAATGCCTCTCCGCTTTAAAACTTTTTATTCGAAAGAAATGTAATAAAAGTTAGCTTCTTAGAAAGTTCATGCTATCGCTATAATAATTTTTTTCCGTGCATACACTTATTTTAAAATTATATAAATTTTGAGGTGAAAAAAACAATAAAATACAGTTTTACAAAGATAGAGTATTTTTAAATTCAAGTTGAAACGAACAAACAATTGAACATAAATGAATTTAATGTGATAGATGAATTTGATGATTTTTTTATAAGACTGTTAATATCGGGCACAAATTTACTGCAGTCTTGAATATCTACGTTCGCACAAATACGAAGAAATGGAAAATGGAAATGGAAGCAAAAATCGTTGAACAATTGACCAAACTCCAGGGTACAACAAAGGGATGTGCTTTTGTAGCCTAATACATTTTTTGCGTCTGGAAGATTTGGAGCTTTGTTTACAAATTGACAATAACGTTGATGAGTATCCTCCAGATTAGCATGGAAAAATCTTTTAACTGGTTCAAATCAACGATATGGTTTTTATAATCCCAGCAAAAAATGATCAATATATAAAACTTGTAAAGTTCTCAAATTTTGTCAAAGCCTGTCACCACCTCCAGTAAGACTTCAGTGCCCACAAGGGGGCACCATCGCCCACTTAGAGATACACTGAACCAGAGTATGTACATATATATAGTGCGTGCGTGTGTATGTGTGTGTGTGCGAGTTCGGGAGAGAGATTATTCATTTCTATGTGTAATCCACCAAAAAATTATTGTATGTGGTTTAACGCTGCTCGTATTATCGCTCGTGTTTTTTTTATTGCTTTGAATTAAAAAACTCCATTAAGACCCGTAAGGCTAGCCGCCTTTTAGCGAACGAAGTGTTGCGTGTTTGGGAGAGTGTAATTGACCTTTAACCTTTGACCTGCGGTCGTTGCAGTTCTGTACAATTGCTGGAAAAATAGATGAGTGTTATCCTCTTTTCAACAAATTCAGTTTACAATTCACGATTAAATAAAATAAATAATTGATCTGGATTTTTTTCTGTCCAGTCCCAGACTAGCAGCAGCTAAACTAAATATATTTAAATAATTTATTTTTATTCAGAATAATTATTATTGTTTGTGGACAATCATTATTTGACATGTTTGGAGTTCTTGTCACAGGTAGACTTGTGAGTACATTTTTTTTATTAATTAACTTTTAAATTTAATAATACCTTCAAAATTTGAAGGTTATATATTAAAATATATTATAATTATTTATAATTTATTATATAGAATAAGTTATAGTATAGCATAATATATATATATATATATATATATATATATATATATATATATATATATATATATATATAGGTTACGTTACACCAACTAAAAAATAAATAATTACTTAATCTTAATTCAGTGTTAATCTTTTCCTCCCATTTAAGATTTAAATGACATCAAAAATAAATATTCTATTAATAATTTTTAATCCATTTTTTAATCTGTGACAATAAAGAATAATTTTCTTATTTATTTCAATATTTAAGGTCCAGACAGAGTTTCAGCAAATCAGTGAAACACAGTTTGTTTTCAACATACCAGATGCTGATAATGTGAACCACATTGTGGTGTTCTTAACTGGTCTCATTGCATTTCCACCTGGGACTGGAGGGGCAGTTTATTTTTCATGGCCGTCTCAAGATGGGCCGGCCTGGGTTCTACTTGGACACATTTTTAATGAAAAACCCAGTGCTATATTCAAAGTAGCAAATTTGAAAAAAGGTTGATATCAATAATTTTTAAAAGTACTAATTTAATTTTGCTTAATTCACAATTGCTTCTTGTAGGTATATTTATTTAATATTTTATCTAATAGTCTAGCTGTTCAGAGTTTTAATGCTTGTTTGTTTGTTTGTTTGTGCAGTTTAATGGCGTTTCAGCACAACTGGCTATCTTTCTGCCCCTTGTTCCTTTTCTATAAATGCGTTTTGTTGTTTTAAAACTTTTGAGAAATTATTTTTAAATTCTATTAAAAATTTGTATTTCCTGAAGGAATGATATTTAGATTATTGATTTTATCTCTGGAAAAATTTTTTTCTACTTTTGAAGGGATGTCATGTCGTTTCCTACTATTATTGTGACTATTACATTTGACCAAAATGTGATGGATGGTTAGTTTTTCGTTATAAGAGTTGCATGTAGGCGAATTTGTTTTGTTGAGAATCCAGGAATGAGTCAAACTTGAATGGCCTATTTTTAATCTGTTGATGATTGTCTGAGGTTTACGTTTTAAACCTTTAAATTCATTTTTTTGGCTGAGAAATGGTGTGGATAATTTAAGAAAGTTTGATGTTTGGTTCCATTCAAGTTGCCATTTCTCCATTGAAACCTTTTTTGTCCAAAATCTTAAATCATTGTGTGGGATGGGAAGATTTGATATTGGAATATTGTGAGCTTGTGATGCCAGTTGATCGACTTCCTCTTTACCCTGAATTCCTATGTGACTGGGTATCCATATCAGAGTTATTTTCTTACCATTGTTATCATTTAAGTTATTATGTATCCTGTTTTGCGTTTGAATTATAAGGTAGTGTAGAGGTCTATATTGTTTAAGCGCCGTAACTGTTGATAATGAATCTGAGAATATCATGAAATTTTTACTATTGGATTTAGATATGAATTTTATTGCCATCTGAATTGCAATGATTTCTGCTGTGAAGATTGGAAGCATGGTTTGGAAGATGTTGCATGATTTTGTTTATGCATTTTTGTTGTCTGTAGACCACTACTGCTGCTGTAGTTGATATTCCTTTTTTTGAGCCATCAGTATATATTTCAATTGAATTGGGATTCTCTTGAATTTTTCCTTTGAATAACATTTTTGCTAAGTTTTTGTCTTTTTCTATTTTTGCTATACTGGTATCAATATCTGCATGTAGCAACAGCCAGGGAGGAATCCTTATAATCATTCTCTTTAACAATTTTTGTTTTTTCATGTTCTTTGTTCTTTGATGTATTCATTTATTCTTGTTGGAAAAGTTTGAATAGATTTGGATTTAATGTGACATATTTTATCAATATATTTATAATTTGGATTTTCTGGTTGCGATCTCAGTTTTAGATAGTAATTCGATGCTAATAATTAATGCGCTAAGCTATTTTTGTCTTGTGATATTTTATAAGAGCCATTCTAATCTTTTGTGTAAAATAAAAATCATAAATGATTCAATCTGTCAATTTTTTTTTATTTTCTAGTTAAACATCATTTCTTATTATTCCATATAATGCATAAACATTAGTAAAATAATTTATACACACAAATGTCAAATTTTTGTTATACAAATAATTATAAGGAGCTGACAATGGTCACCAGCACCCATTTGGTGTGATTGAGAACCATGTCAGCCACATGATGCAAGTAGGGATATCAATTGAAAGTCTCGAAGTCATGTCTCAGCAGACGTGTATCCAGGGATCTGAAGCATCAAAAGCATCTTCGTTTGATGAATTTTGTAGAAAAATGTTGGAAAATTTTTTCAATTTTGCATCTTCATTTGCCGTCACTCAATCTCAGATGGTGCCTGCACCGTCTGAGACATTCATACCCGCATCAGTCCTTCAACAGTGGTACACCAACTTCCAAAGAAGACTTCAACAAACTCCTAACTTTTGGAAATAATTTTTTAAATTAGTTTTTGAACAATTGTTTCCATTTGATTTTTTTGTGTGAGACACTTGCTACATGTTAATTTTAAGATTCTCGTAATCTCAGCTTATTAAATTACCATGCAGGCACCTACAAAATTTTAGATGTTAACAATAATGAAATAACATAAAAAAGTTTGAACTTATTTGTGTTTTTTGAAAATGTTTTGTTACCGTTAATTCAACTGAAATTAAATTTTGAAAACTTTAACATTTATGGAAGTTTTGTAACATTATAAAGGTTCTTCATTACACCAAATCTTCATTGCATCACATCATCACAATACATCTTCATCACATTTTCACGTTACACATCTTCATATCCCATCACATCTTCATCACATCACTCCTCGTTGCATTATGCCTCCTTACATCATCACACCACATTTTCACATCACATCTTCATCAGATCACATTTACAAGATGACGTTAAAATGGTGTGTCGACGCTTAGATATCTACAAAAACATCAAAAAGATGTAATCAATTGTATTAGTCGTTTTGTTTTAAAAATTCTGTATACTATTATATTAAATTTATTACTGGCCCATTTTCCGGACACTTTCGTTTACCTTTGAAACACGGCCTGGTCAGTTTCTGCGACATAAGCGCTGGTTTGAATCTGTCTCGTTCTTTATTCTGATGTTAAAGACTGATGTCCCAAGAGTTTTGAATGTTGTTGTTGGCTGTATGTAGGTGCTGTGAATTTGAGAGAAGACTTTTTTTTAGTTTTCAGATTAAATGTGTGCATGCGTGTGTGTTTATATATTAAGACAGGAGTGTCAAACTACGGTCCGCGAGGCTTTTTACTAGACATTTGAAAAAAAAATTAAGAATGAAATTACCAAATAAAGGTTGTCAGCCAGATATTATGTCAAATAATTTCCTTCCCCCGGTCAAAGGTCGAAAAATGAACACAGGCTGCCCTCCAAAGGTAATGACTGATATCCTTTCAATGCGGACCTCACAGCAAAAAGTTTGCCCATTCCTTTATAATGGGATAGTTGTTGTTGATTTACAACTAAATTTTAAACTCTTTAGCCTCTTTTTTCAGTATTTCAAAAGATGCATCGAGAATAAAAAAAGGGCAAATGATCGTCTATTTATTTATTGATTAATTTGTTGTGGTTCATTGACCAATCACTCTGTCCTAACCATTCATATCCTTACTGGTTTTCTAGTTACTATTTATAATTATTATTAGCGATTGGAAGCAATTATTAATAGCGTGAATGAAAGTATCAACAATCAGATAAGTAATCGATAAATGTCAATAAATTAATCTATAATGCTGAAGGAAGTTAACAGACTGAACGAACGATCTTGTGATTCGTTCTTTGACACAAAAATATCGTACATAGTGAATGAATGATTGATTGATTTGCTTATTGAGTGAATAATTGAATATTCAGAAGAGTTGGTGGGCGATTGAATCATTAGCTTGTTGATTTATTTATTTATTTATTTGTGGTTGATTAATCGATTGAGTTATTGAATGATTGTTTCAGCTGCAAGTTCAGGCATTCCAGAATTTGAAGACATCAGCTGATTCGAGGGAGTCTGTGTCCCCCTTGGATGACCCTGCTGACCTCGTCGAGTAGGAAGCTCCTAATATCGCTCTTGTCCCTGATAATGATGATGATGATAATGATGACGAAGATGATAAAGAAAGAGTATAATGATGAGAATGATGACAAAAAGTGTAATGGCGATAGTTGATGATGGTGGTGGAGATGAAATTTAGAAAAAGTATAGCGATGATGGTATTTAGCGTCTGCAACTGCGCCAACAAAACATTCTAGCAGCATCAACAACAGCATTTGAAGTAACACAAAAAACAGTGGTGTATCTAAACAATCAATCAATCAATCAATCAATCAATCAATCAATCAATCAATCAATCAATCAATCAATCAATCAATTAGCTTATAAAGCGCTATTTCCGCAATGTTCAACAGCGCTCCTCAATGAATTTTGAAAACAGATGGGTCTTGAGATCCGCTCTGAACTTCGCAAGTGATGGAGAAGTAGTCAGAGAAGTAGGTAGAGAGTTCCAGAGAAAAGGACCAGAAAAAGCAAAAGCAGATTTGGCAAAAGAGTGTTTAACACGAGTTAAGAAAAAGCGAGGAGAAGAAGACGATCAATTTTGACAGGCGAGGACAAAATTTAGAAAATGTTCAAATAATTTTGGCATTTTGGCCGTGTAGCCAAAATTAGGGCTGGCGTCCATTTTTTTCTTATCACGTTAGCTTTTAATAGATTTTCTACATAAAACAGTGTTTTTTATGCAAAATCACTAATTTTTAAAAAATACTGCTCACAGCGAGGGGGAGCCTCATACAACATCAACATGCAATATCAACGGAAACAAAAAATCAACATTTGGATGGGAGAGATTGTATGGCGCTTGGTTGTAATTTAACATTAGTGCCACAACGGACGTAGCATTCACGACACACATGCACATTACGTATAACATCATACGCGTTGGACGGTCCTTGAGTTTCGGACAGACAGTGTATTCGAACCATGCCATCGCGAAATAGCAGCGCAAGACCTGGCACTTCCACTGAAAGAGTTAACTCGATGACCATACCACATACCTTGCACGACACATCACGACACACAACACCATGATACGCCATATTATGACACGCAACACCACGACACACCACACCACACGCATGAGACTCGCCTTTTTGCATGAATTGCACACAGGTTGTTGAGATGAAGAAGAGGATGAAAGCGACGAAGAACAGAGCAGAAAATGCCAGCATGACGATGACGTCATAATAATCAATGAGGATGTAGGTGTGGAAGAAGATGGAAACGAGCACGTGCCAGATGCAGGCGAGAAATTGTATCATCCAAATAAGAATAAACAAGCTTTCCTGATTATTTCAAAATGCGTGACGTCATACATGCATACGGGATACACGGCGTGGCGTGACGTCATACATGCATTCGGGATACATGTATGATGTTACGTCAGGTCACGTGTTGCGTGAAGTTTTCACGTTATGCAAGAACTTGATCAATCAAGTTGTTTTTTTAACAGAGTATTAAAGTGATGGCAAGCACTTCCTGTTACTTCTGTTCATTCCCTCATAGTTTTTCCATAGTTATTCATAATTATTAATAATTATTAACATAATGTCATATTTATTTGATATTGGTCTATAAACGAAAACTTAAGCCTTACATACATTTTAGTACTTTCTAATCAATTTTATTACATATCTTCCTTCAATATTCTTCAGAGTCATCAACAACAAACACACAGCAGCGCAAGTACAATGCAAGTACAATGCATGTACTATGCGGTGTTTTCTTTGCAATTGAATCTGGTCACTGCCATAGCAGTGCCAGGCACTTTACCGTTACACCATCATGCGCCACACATTAAAGTTTATATAATCGTATAGATAGAGTTTTCACGCATATATTCTCCTAAATGATGAAAAGTTAATCATTTTTCTTATGTAATTAATTCAGGGCATGTGCTTTTGAAGCGGATGCAAGCTTGAATGAAATGACGATGACAATATCCTAACGTTGTTACTCGATGGAACTTTGTTCGAGTGCGTCTCAATGTTGAAATTTTTGAAGCACGTGTTTATGAAGAGGACGAAAAAGCTGAAGAACAACCGGAAGTTGATCAAACGGAAGTTGATGCTGAAAACTGAGAGAGTCAGAAAGCTGAAGGCAATCTGTGAGGGTATGAACGGGAAAAAATATATAAATAATACCACTATTTTATCCAATTTATAAATATGAGATAACTTTAAAATCTTTCTTCTTTAAAATTTTTTTTATAAAACATTTATTGATATAGTCATTTCTTTGTTAAATACATAAATTAATACGAATGATTACTATTATATCACGTCTTTATATCTGAAAATTTATATCTGTTACAAATCCTATTAATTTCGAAATTTTCATTGTAGGAGGATTAATTCCCAGAACTTCATCCATTAAATTCTTGGATGAAACAGTCACTGATAATTTGAGTTGGAACGAGCACATTATTGAAATTTCTAAAAAGTATCAAAATTTTATGGATCATAAATAAAATTAAATCACTTCTGTCTGAAAAGATTAATATGAATTTATACTATACCTCAATCTATCTATCTACCTTATTTTATTTATTGCATAATACTTTGGGGTAAAAATATTAAGTCACGTATTAGTGTACAAGTTAAATGCCGAAATTGCTTTATTAGAATTTTTAAAATTGCCCTTTCATTTGCATATTTTTGAAAATCAAAAATATTATCTATTCACAATCTTTATATTCTTAGAATTTTGTTATTTTTTTTTATAAAATAATCATTTTAAATAAATATAAATATTTTTACAAAAATTTAATAAAATTTTCAACAATAATTCAGAAACCAACACGACACGCAACTGATTTTATATATCTAATTTTAGAACAGTTCTGTTTTCTCATTCTATCTTTATTTACGGAATAAAATTATGGCCATCATTACCTTCTGAGACGTTAAAACTTCATTAACTTTAGTTAGTTTCAAAAAAGGAATTATTAGTTTAATAGATAACAATTTATTTCGCTTTTTTAATTTACAAGATAATTAGTTTCAATTTTGTTCCTTAACTTTCATGTTTTATTTTATTTAAAACTATGTATTAATGATATAAGTTTAGTTGTATTTCATTTGTAATTAGCCCACAAGCTATGCATTGGGTTTCAATAAAAAAGACTTGAAGCCTTGTTAGAAGAAAAAGAAAAAAAAGTTGTGGAAGCACTTGTTGCAGGTAGACATTCAATATGAAATAAATCTTCCTCCGTTCAGCTGGACACTGTATGCAGACCACGGAATGCTTAACTCCAATGAAATCAACTGGCAAGTTGTTCACTCCTCGGTGAAATATCTGTTCGTGTGCGTGTGAGCATGGGTGAATGTGTGCGTGTGAGCATGGGCGAATGTGTGCGTGTGAGCATCGGTGAATGTGTGCGTGTGTTGTTTGTTTTGACGACATCGCCACGAAGATTATTCATCAACATCTTTCTGTATCATCTCCAGCTGAGTAGCGTTGAACTGAAGAGTCGATAATGTTCTCTTCACGGTAGGACCTGACTTTAAATCAAGTCCACAACAATATTTTTATTAATGAAACATGGGCCAAGTGCTGTTTCGATACATCAAATTTATTAAGAGTATTAATTTTATATTAAACTTATTACATTTGCTCTACTGAATGGTCAGTTTGGTCACTTGCGTTACTTATTTCAGCTTTAAATGAAATGAATTAAAAAAGTTGAGTGCCCTATCAAAAATAATTCATTGGTGTGAGTGGTACAACATCGCTTCAACTTGCCTATGCTCTTTTTTTATCGCATTTAACGCCACTTTGCAAACAAGTTCGACTCGCGTTTAAAGATTTTTTAAACGTGTTTTTTAATCATTTAAAGTTGAAAGAAATATCTTTAGAAGTAAATATTTCAACGAAGCAGGACCTGACTTTGGACGGAAAAGACGAGTTTGAGGTTTGGTTGCAAACTCCACTTGTCCCATTCCTGGAAGGTAGAGATGCTGTTCAGCGATGCCGCCTCATCCTTCACGAACAGCAGATGCTTGATGCTCAACTCCGAGGTTATGTGGATGGGAAGGATCTGGTCAGGTCAGGTCAGGTCAGGTCATGCATGCGTGCGTTGTTATTGTATGATACGTGATTAAATGGTGTACGGTAGATGATATGTAATTGAATGACAAGTTAATTGATGTACGACGTCATCGAAATTATGTGAAACGTTTGTTGAACAAATCAAAACAACAGTTAACAGGAAATGAGACTCAATACAATATAGAATTCTAAAAAATTACTCATTAACATTTATTTGTTTAATTTCTTGAAATTTGTTATAAGACAAAAAAACTTTGGCGACATTAGCGCCATAGAAACCACATTTGTCAATTGAAACATGAGTTGGCGGCAAGATAGTGTAACAATTCTTAATGGTAGAGTGTCCGGTTTCGGTTTTGCAGTACAGTGATCGGTTCCAACGCGGAGATGTAATAATTGTTAAACTCACACATCGAACTTGATATAATGTCTTAGTCCGTGTGTACGCTGTTTGTGGAATATTTGCAGGTCTTGTAGCAGGCAGCACCTCGGAAGGAGGTGCTGCCTGCTACAAGTTATCTAAAGATGTTGTGGCTGGTGGTCTGTTGAAATGTACGCATGGCTATCACGTCGTCAATTTAATCAATCAACAAAATTTCGTCAATCACTTTTATGGATCAGTATTTTTAAAAATAAAAACATTTACAAATATTTTGTTGGTTTTTCGTCAAAAAGTTAAAAAACCTCACTAGTTTCTGGAAAGGAAAGTCGCTGTCCGAGCAGAAGAATGAAAAAAGGCCTTTGAAGCGCAAGATTAGTTTGGCCTGTAATGGATTGCCGATGTTGTAAAATTATGACTGGAACGCTGTGGCGATGCTACTAATATCAAAAGTATGTTATCTACATTAATATTTCACTATATATAGTTGTTACAAACACACAGTTAAACTAACACACACACTCAAACAAACGGACAAACGTTTTCAACGTTTTTAAATTGTAATAATAACTTTAACGTTTTGCTGCGAATCTATGAAAAATGAGCTCGCCATCTTGACATTCAACTTGTCCAAATAATTGCTCACAATTATTTTTGGGTTCCAGTGTTTCAGAACATTCATGTTGCTGATGATCTTTGAGAGATTTAAAAAAAAATCATGATTTAACTGGGAAACAAAATTATTTAACGATCCAGTCAAGACAGATGTAGTTGTTGTAGGTGAATAACTTGAACAGAAAATTTATGAAGGCAGACAATGAAATGAACCTTTAGAGGAAGGCTGTCGAGTGCCGCCTCCCTCCACGTTGCCTGGATGACGACGTCGGCTGCGAAACAGTCGGCCGGATTGTCTATCGAGGAAACCTTCAACACGTTGGCAGTTATGCTGAGCTGGGTTTGTTGTGGTTTCGTTTCAAAAGAGAATAAAAATAAGTAATTAACAAATTTCAAATAATTCATGAAGAAATGTACTGTTTATTTAATTTTAATGTTTAAAGAATAAGCGAATTATCAATAAAAAATTTTGTAAGTAAAGTATAAAAAAATATTTTACCACTCTTGGTTCAACCATCGGTATATTTTTTTCCTTGAACGGTCAAAAATTTGCACAAAACTTTTCTAGAAAACAAGTTGAACGTCAGCGATATAACTGACGTGAATGAAATCAAAACAAAATGTTCATTAACAAAATGACGTAGTAAATACATCCAACAGAAAAGTGATGGACAATAAATCGTTTCTAAAATATAACTTCGAACATTATTTTTTTTATAAAATTTGATTTGTGTTCTAAAGATGTTTATGCTGTAATAAAGTTCAAAAATCTTCGTCACTATCACTGAATGAGAAGTTGTTGAGAACGTGGGAGTTGGATGATGACGAGTTAGCTAGGCTGTGCATCAGTGGTTCTGTCTCGTCGTTCAACAAGCGATGTCTGTTGTGCTTCTGTTGTGTTTCATATTTAATCGTTATTTTTAAAATTCAAGCGAATCTGAAAATTTAATCGTAATTAAATACTAAATTACATTTCAACTTTTGAACTTGTGCAACGATTTAATGTATGTGTGTGTGGTGTGTGTATAGTTTGTGTATGTATCGTGTGTGCGTGTGAGTGTGTATTAAATCTGAATTGGAAATTTTTAACGTTTAATGAAAGTAGTGTTGTAACATTTTGACGCTAGTAACTACCAACATAAATGTTATAACTTCAAAGATTTTTATATTTACGACACCAGTGTTGTAGCTTCCAAGGATCGCAAAAATCGCAACGCACCTGCACAAATTATTAATTTTACATTTTACTAACGACAGTAAGGAGGAGAACCCTGAGGAGACATTCCGACAATTAGATAAATGACACTACAGAACAGACTGGGATTGGTGGGAACGATAAATTGAATATAAATTGGCCGAATAGATACCCAGCCAACTCAAGTACAAGTTCTCACAATAATAATCAACATAACAAGAGCAGTCTACAGAAAATGGCAAAATAGCACCAATTCGTTAAACAATTAAACACCCATTAAAGCTCCAAATTTTAGAAACTCATTCGTAAACTGGACAACAAATGCCTCGCCTCACCCAACTGCTCAATAATCTGAACAATCTTCTCATAACCAGGACTTTTGCAGAAAGGTTGATAAACTTAACAATCACTGGACGCGGGGGAGACGGTACGCTTGGCTTTTTACCTTGTCTAAATATTTTCAATATGTCATCATCTTTCAGAGACTCGTCTGTTAGGAACCTTAAAAAGCCAAGAACATTGCCCCTATCTTTAGCAACATCCAAGTCTTCGCTGAAATTAAAGAGAACTATGTTGTTCTCACGGGCCTTAACTTCATTTGCCACTTCAATTGTTCTGCGAACGGAGATGACCTCTTTACTAACTACGTCGAGGTCCTTTTTTACCACATTGGAAAATGAAGTACTGATCATATTTCTCAAAGAAGCAGCCTCGTTATCGACAATTTTAGAATTACTCTTTACCACGTCTGACCAAGACTTGGTGATATCGTTTTTCAAGGAATTAATAGACTGGTTAAGTTTCTCGTCTAGTTTTTCTAACTTAGGTTCTCACCGCTTGACTCAAGCCTCAACTGCAGATTTTTCATCCCAATATCAATGGAATCGAACGTTTTAAGACGAGAATCAATGGATTCAAATTTTTCGTTAAGCATCTGCAAAAGACCTTTGAAACCATCAGCATGTTTCACGCAATTATCACAATAAAACTTCATGTTTTTACTTTTGCTAGCATATTTCACCAATTCATCATATAAGGCCGAAGGCTCGATTTGAACCACCGCATCACATACACAACATAATATGTTATCATCCTTTACGGAAGCAGGTTCCGTAATTGATTGACTTCTCTGAGATCTTGTTTTAGACATGTCTTAATCGAGCACACAAACGAAGTCTATGGAGAAAATGCAGTGGTAGATACAGGTCTTTAGCACGATGCAGCAGCTGCACTGTCGAAGCCGTTTCAGTGACAGCCAAGTTAGTTTTATATTCGGCAACAACAATGACCAAAATTTTCTTTCAAATCACTGTTGATATTCCAAACAAAATAACAGAACAACCGAAACAATGCAATACGTTCAAAAAACAAGGAGTGATAGCATACAATTTAACAGAAACGTATCTACTTAAGATTTAAACTAAAAAATTAAATTAGTTACTCAAGTTCTAAATTATTCAAAGAAACAAAAATATATTAATAATCCTCTCTAATTAACCTATCAATTAAACCTAATTTAAACAATAAACACTCTGAGTAAACGCCGAAAATTAAGAAAAATTACGAAAAATAAACAAGAAACAACCGAGTCAAACCACATGTATGTATGTATATATATATATATATATATATATATATATACGAAAATACCCCATTTAAGAGTGTATTTGCATTTCGTTATATCAGATATTCAGATTTTTTTACAATTATAATGTGTAATTAATTAACCGCTTGTATAAAGAAATCCATTTAAAAAATTGATTGACAATCCTGCCTGTTTATGTTATTTGCGTATATATGTACACAACATGTAATAATGATGTGTATTGTACGTCCCAACGATATTATATTATTGTCTGAAAATTGTCTGAAATAAACCTTTGATTTCATTTTTTGGTCTGTAACGAGATAATTCAATCTTTATTCAATCTCGACATATCAAATTTTCTTCACGCGATTATTTATTATTATTTGTTTGTTTGATTTTATATATGAAAGAATAAGCAAAGTATAAAAATAATTTATTAAACGAGTCACTCGAACATTAGTTCATTCACACATTCATTTATTATTTAATTTATTCTTGATGTATATATCTTATTTGATAAATTGATTGATTGGTTAACTGATTTGAAGAACATTATTTGAAATTACTGGCGTCATCTTCAGGCCGATCTGCTCAGCACCCTAAATTTAGTTGGAAATAAAAATTTTATGAATCAGAATAATTATTAAATGTGAATAATAATAATAAAGTTAATAAAAATATAAATAATAACCACAATAATAAAAACAACACTCAAATCCGCGCATCACACACGATGCATGTGATAGGCAAAGATCTTTCTGCCATTGAGCCAAGTAAACAGAAATCATAATAACAATAATAATAACAACAACAATAATAATAATAAACAGTAATAATAAAAAATAATGATAACTTTTCTAATCAGAATATTATGCTTATGACAGAAGGCCCCGTAGACATCATTGGCCAAACTTTGTTTCTCCTCCTCGTTGCAGTAGACCAGGTACTGGACTTCGTGAAATTTTTCGGGTAAAAATGGTGAGACCTGAATCGATCAATTGATTGGTTATTTGGTTGATTAGTTGATCGATCGATTAGTTAGTTAGTTGGTTTATCGATTGTTGATTGGTTAGTTGGTTGATTGATTGAATGGTTGGTTGATTGTTAGCCGACAAATATAGAGATTAATTTGTTTGGACTGATTAATTGATGTTTTGAACGTAAAACCAAATTTGATAAAATTACTCAATGAACAAAAGAATGATTGCATAGTAAAGTGATTGATTAAATAATTTATCAATTGATTAACCAATTGATTGATTGTCGATCAACTCAATAACAATAATAACATCACAACATACTTGTTCCTTAGTAATTTTATAGGCCACATCTGGATCACGTTTACCGTAGAACATGCAGTTTTCAAGCGGATTCTTTTCCTTCATCCCATAGTTAAAAGAACGTTTCTGCGTATGTTTGTGTACATGTATTTGTGTGTATGTGTGTGTATGTGTGTATCATTGGTTGTATGTGTGCTTATTTGCGCGTTTGTTTGTGTGTCAGTGCGTGAGAAACAAAATAAAAGAAAGAACGACCGAATGAATGATTGACTGAATGAATGAATGAATGGATGAATGATTGAGAGAACAAGCAAATAAACTAGCAAGTAGACTAACGACAACAATGAAATCATCAGCAACCAGGTCCTTCTTCAACAGGGCGCTCTCTATGACGAGCTGTTCGTGAATCCAGTCAGCACTCCATTTCAACTTTGGATTCTATGGATTTTTGTGTATGCTTGTGTTAAACACACACACAGCCGCAAACACACACTCAGTCACACACGTATAACCACACACACGCACACAGCCTCACACATACAATCAGACAAAATTAAACACAGAGGCACAGAAACCCACATCAGACTCTTTTATGACTCCAACAATTTTAGGTAGGTCCCTCGAAAAGACTCTCTTAATCCACTCTCTTGATCTGGAAAGTTCTGGCCTGCTGGAGTGGAGGATTTGCAGGATGATGTCGTCCGTCATCTTCCAAAAAGCTTCCATGTCGTTCATGCCTTCAGACATCTTGTAGAGTTTTCTAGTTTGGAGTTTGTTGATTTTTGTGATTTGTTGTTTGCTTGTGGTATATGATTTGTGGTGAATGATTCTATATCTCTCTTTCTATCTCTTTTTTTCGTTTTCTCATTTATTGTGTTTGTTGCTTATAATTTAGGGTTAATAACTCTTTTACTCTCTTTCCTCTCTTAATTAAAGGAAAAAAACAAAGAACAAATACAACAGCGCAAATATAAACAAATAACCTTAAACAATTGAACATAAACAAAAAAAAAACGCAACGAAACGACAAAAAACAATAACCCATTGGTGCCTGGAAAAGAGAGGTGATCATCTGCCAGTCTCAGTGCTTCACAAATCCTGAAATGAAAAATTGATGGCTGACTTTCTTTCATTGTTTGTTTTGTTGATAACATAGCTGTTGCTTATGTTGTTATTTATGTTTGAATGGCTATGATGGGTTGTGTGCCAATAAAAATCGTTTCAGCATCATTTTCTATTCGAATCATCTTTACCATTATTGTCAACAACAACATTATCATTATCACCAATAGTAACAACAAGAACCTACATGTAATTATGAATGATGGTGGTCTTATGGAGGTAGGCTTGTTTGAAGAGAGTGCTTCTGCAGTGGAACATCTCGTACAGGTTGTCCGCTTCCTAGAATGTTAATTAATTTTACAAACAGTTTATTGAACTAATTAAATATTTTGGTTTATCAATTAATCAATTAATGAACTAACTAACCAATCAGCCAACATATCATCAATCGATCAACTAGCTAATCAGCAATCAATCAGTTAATCAATCATCTTATCAATCATCCAATCAATCAATCGGTCAGTTAATCAATCAATCAATCGACCGGTCGAACCTTGTTCCTGGCACAAATCTGTTTCTCTCCGTCAACATTGATAACCCTGACAAACTTGAGCAGACGACCGGGATCGAACGAAACTTTCAATCCCAAATAGTAACTATCGCGGAGGAAATAATCCCACCTATCCACGTCGATCCCAGTTCGGTTATTGGCTACAATCTGTGCGTGGGTTTGCGAGTGCGTAAGTTTATGTGCGTGTGTATGTGTGTGTACGTGTGTGTTTATAATTAAAATATAATATAATTGAAATTTTGCCAACCTCGTAGAGGAACAACTTGTCCTGACCTCTTCCCTGATAATCCTTGAAACAACAATTTATTCAAGTTAATATATGGATGAATGAACGAATAAATGAACGGACGGAGATGAATGAAAATAAATTTATTATATTTCTTTAGGAAAAAAAAAATTCTCTAAGTAAATAAAATTGAATGCGTGAACATATGAATTAATGGAATGAGTGAGGTACAGGAAAAAAGATGATTGGGCAAACATCCGTAAATAAACGAGCGAACAAATGAACAAATGAACGATTAAACAACAATTAAATAAATAAAAAAATTAATAGGAAAGAAAAACTAACAACTTTGTTTGTAGGTGACATGATCTGCTCTTTGATGAATATCAGGTCCTCATCACTGAAGAGATGCATCAAGTTGTTCACCTTTATAATGTAGTCTAACATATCCACTGAAGCTTTTTCATGCTGTATGTTTGTGTGCGTGTGTGTGTTGGTGTGCGTTTGTGTGTCTGTGTGCGTGTTTATACAAACACAAACATACAAATATTTAAACCATCACAAAATATCATACAAAAAAAGAGACAAACAATCGCACATATAAAAAAAACAAACCTTCCAATCTGGTAGTTTCGCAGATCTTCTGAAACTTGGAACAAACAGCTGATCATACAAATGAGAAAAAGGTCCATGGCCTGATTTGGTACGTAATAAAATACACATAAAAACAATAAATATAACACATACATTCATACATTTGACGGTTCAGTGTCACTCATCATGTTTTGGTTTTAACATTCATACATACATACATACATACATACATACATACATACATACATACATACATACATACATACATACATATATACATACTGAATATTGAAGTTTTGTAATCATAAATAAAATTAAAATTATTTTTCATACATACATACATACATACATGCATGCATGCATGCATGCATGCATGCATACATACATACATACATACATACATACATACATACATACATACATACATACATACATACATACATACATACATACATACATACATACATACATACATACATACATACATACATACATACATACATACATACATACATACATACATACATGCATACATACACGCATACATACATACATACAAACATACATACATACATACATAAACACACATTCACACACACATACCCAAATCATGGCACAATCCTGCTACTGCTACACATGACACATCAGATTCTGTAATATTCAGCTCTGGCTGCTTTTGCTGCAGGGTTCTACACAATGTTTCTGCCAGGTGACACACTCTGAAAAAATATATAAAAATAAGTACTAAAAATTTACGCACACCACACATGCACACACAAACCCGATGCTGTGCTCAAATCTTGTATGAACCGCTCCTGGGTAGACCAGAGAACCCGTGCCAGTCATCTTAATGAACCTCAATCTCTGAAACTGTGGAGTGTCCACGATGGCCATACAGAGAGGGCTAATTTCGATGTGGCCGTGGATTGGGTCGTTCATAACCTGTATTTTGGTTTGTATATGTGTGCGCGCGTGTGTTTGTATGTGCTTGTGTATGTGTTCACGGAGGTAGGTAGATGACAAATTAGAATGAAATGGTGATAATAACGTACCGTCCCTTCTTTCTTCAGCAATGTTTTTCTGTAAAAAAATTATCCAAGAATTAATAACCAAATTATTAAATAAATATAATTAAGTATTAAAATAAAATAAATAAATAAATCCATAAGCAATTAAATCCATACCCAGTATTTTGACTTTGAGAACTTGTATTAATTTTCTCCATTTTTATCTGATTTGATCTGTTAATGAAAAAATAATTTAATGGTCTTTCCAACGGTATGCAAAAAGTCCTGATGTTTTGATGAGCAGTTTGGTTGTCCTTTAAGTGAGTAAAATAATGCCTTTTTCATTTTTTATTTACAACTTTCGCATTTATTCGACAAATTGCGGTGACATAGACAATCATTGACATCTTTTTTTTAGTAAAAATTTTGGGTTTTAAATTTAAAAATTAAATTAATTTTTAAAAATTTTATATTTATTTAACTAATTAATTTTGAAAACAGTTCGTTCGTGTTTTTCCTTGAAAAGAATTATAAGGATGAACCTATTTATAAAATCATTAATGTGTTTATTGATTTATGGACGCAGAAAAGACTTCCCCAATGCCCATCTCTCGCATAAAACATTGGAAGTTCATGTTCATTTGGTCAAATATTCATTTGTTACATCGAAAGTTATATCTAAAAATATAACGCCACGCTCAGTGATGAGCAAAAGCAAGGCGGATCGTAGTGCTAGGCAAAAATGCAAGATGGCGCGGAATTAAAAAAGTTACAATTCTTTGGTTTAATTAAGAAAATTAATTAAAGCAAAAAAAAGTTTAGTTAAAATGTAATTTAACTAAATCTTTAATTAGAAAATATTGTTTTACTAGAATTTTGTAGACATTTTTTACACGTGCTTGTAACCACAACTACAATTGAATCGCACATTTTTTTAACAACGCGGTAGGTTGGATATTTTTTAAAATCCGCACCCCACAAAACCACAAAATTTGCAGTGCCGAAGGTTTCTATCCAGAGCTTCGACGTCACGAGTTGAACACTCTGCCATTCTAACGTAAAAATTCGGTTTTAACTAATCTATGCAATCGACAAAATTCTTACGTTAGCAAACAAAATTCTTAATCGACATATTAAAGTTAACCGAAAAACTAATAAGGAGTGCGAATAGCAATAGAAAATAAAAACTTGATTATTCAAATTAAAAATTTTACTCAACTATTATTTATTTATTAGAAAAAAATTTAAATACAAAATTAACTCAAAAAATTGGCAAAAACGTGAATTAAATCAAATGACATGCGATTGAACACGAATAAAATTCATGTTAAATTATAGATAAAAACGATTGGTCTAGTTGAATTTCCACATTTTAACAAGTTTGACATAAAAAATAATACTAAAGTCGAAATTCATAAAGCATTTAAAGTGTTTATATATCAAAGTTTGATAAATAATTAATTACTTAGTAATAAATAAAATAATAATACAAAAAAAAATGTTACAACTTACCTTGATTATGAAAATTTCTCAACAGCGATTAGCGTTGGTGCATCTACGTAATTAACAGTCCCTGCTCCTGCCTTTTATATCCTTTTCAAACCATGAAGCGCTCATAAAAAAGATCATTAATTACAAAGGATAACACTCGCCTATTCAACTTCTATTTAATTTCGGGATGGAGTGAATAATAACCATCTCTATCTACTTTGCAGTACTCAATTTATTAAAAATTTGAGGCCAGTCAAATCGCGGTTTTTCAATGCAAGCAATTTTCTCAACACACCCACCATATATCTTCATTCTTATATGGTACACAGCGCAATGTTTCTGATACTACATAGCGTGCATTTAGGGTCTTTGTTTTTTAGAACACGATCAAAGCATCGTCGTAAAAAGAAAATTAACGATAATTTTTTGGTGTATTCGAACGAATTTTGAAAGAAAACGTATATTTCGGCAGTTACAACTAAATAAAATTTAAAATTATGACTTGTGGTACTAATAGCTGCGTTAATAAAATAAATCAACCAAATAAATCTAAACACTCAATTACTATTCCTCCTATTATCTTACCTGATTCTAAAACTCTTGATGTCTCCCATAAGTTTCGTAGTCTAGGTTTTATCTTTGATTCTACTATGTCTCTCTCTTTTCAGATTAATAGTGTTGCTAGAAGCTCTTACTTTCATCTACGTAGAATAAAAAAACTTTTGCCTTTTCTTGATGATCCTACTCTTCTCCTTCTTGTTACTTCGTTAGTCTTATCTAGGATTGATTATTGTAACTCGCTCTACTATGGTCTTCCTGACTCTATACTCTATCCTTTAAGTAAAGCTTTTAACTCTGCTGCTCGTCTAGTTGCTCGTGCCCCTTTCTTTTCTCATATATCTCCATATCTTGTTCTCTTGCACTGGCTACCTATAAAATATAGAATAATTTTAAAAATTTGCACGTTCATGTAAAAGTCTCAATCTAAATTATTTCCTAAGTACTTATCAGATATATTAATTGAACCTAAACGCCCCGGTTTACGATCGTCTTCTTCTTCTCGCTTTTTCTTAACTCGTGTTAAACACTCTTTTGCCAAATCTGCTTTTGCTTTTTCTGGTCCTTTTCTCTGGACTCTCTACCTACTTCTCTAACTACTTCTCCATCACTTGCGAAGTTCAGAGCGGATCTTAAGACCCATCTGTTTTCAAAATCATTGAGGAGCGCTGTTGAACATAGCGGAAATAGCGCTTTATAAACTAATTGATTGATTGATTGATTGATTGAGTGTTGTTGATTCTTCTAAACTTTGGAAGAGTGTAATAGACCTTTAACCAGGGATGTCGGTTTCTCTTTTTACCGGCACAAATGAAGTTTACTTTCTACGTTCAACCAATTCAATGTTTATTGTTTTTTAACTAAAATATTGTATTATTTTTTGAATTCACATCTAAAAGTAATAATTTAAACGTGTATAAGTCAATCTCGTTTTTTTAACTGATTATTACAAATTTATTTTTTAGTAAAAAGTTATTTGGATTAAAAGTTTAATTTAATGAGGTTATAGATACACATCAACTTCATAAAGTTATGCTAAACTAACTTTTTAAAGTAAAACATTTTGATCATTTTTTTGTGAACGGATATAGACCACAATCCATTTATTTAATGCCATACAATATTGTTTATTAATTATTTACTTGTATGGTGTTATTTGTATATTATTATTGAACTTGATTTATATAGCAATGTACACTTATGTCTTTATATCTGTACAAAAATAAGATTTCCTAAAGATAAAGAAGGAGAAATATTTGGATTAGTAAAATAAAGTTTGCAAATAATGATGATTGGATGCCTACGGGTTAGCACTTCAAATTCAGGGATTTTGTCATGGCAGGAAACTAAAAACGTTTGTAAAAACATGCAGCCTCATGTTTTGAAGTAAAGCCATTTCAATTTATTTTAATTTTTGTTATGAAGTTGCATAAATTATTGAATTAAGCTGTTTAGAAGTGTCCTTAAATTCTTTTAGTCTAGAGTCATTTAAAAATTAGTTGATAAAAATTTGTCATTTTTTTAGGTTGTGTCTGTAAAACCACCTGTGGCATTGGAACAAATAAATACATCTTTAGAAAAAGAAAATGACCGTGAGAAGGTAAGTAAGCCTACAACAGATTAATTTTTTTTATATATCAAACAATTAAATTTTTAATGTTTTGAAATGCATGCACCATGAACAGATTGAAGAAAGTGAGTGATGTATCAATGAATAAACACATCTTTAGAAAAAGAAAGTTCCTGTGAGAATGTAAGTGAACAACTCACAACTTATTTGAAATACAGATTAATTTTTTTTAAATCAAACCATTAATTTTCTAATGTTTTGGAATGCAATTACCATGAACAAGTATTAATTTAATAAAAGTAACAATAACAGAAATCAGAACATGTAGATTTTTTTGTCTATAAAATTGGCAATGGAGAAAAATTTTAATATTTGTAATGGAAGTACCATCAGGGATTTTTGAGTTTTAAAAAATATTTGTATGGCAAATTTTAATTCAAAAAATATTCACGCAAACATCATCATACAATTTATAAATAGTTGTTACATGAAACAGCAGTTTCCAATTGATCCTTTAACTTTTTGAGTTTATTTGGCTTACAGCACGTACACGACCTCTCATGTACGCAGTTTTAGTGAGGCAATGAATTTTCATGCTCTTTCAGCTCATTATAAGCATTCTCCTAATCATTGAAGCATTCTTATGTTAATTTTGTTTTAACGCTCGATTTGTTTAAAAACAAAACACGATGTCTACACAATACTGTTCTAGTGCCTTCTGAATAAACAAGCCATTCTCGCGATGTTTTTTCTCTGTTTAGTTAAACATACTTTGTGAGAAGTCCCGTATTTTGCCACCACTGTACTTTTTTAGATCTACTAAAGTCCAAATTTTGGCCACGAAATCGCGCGTCTCATTATTTACTTGCTATAAAGCAGAGTCATCAGGTTAACGGAAACATGGCTCTACAGTTTTAAAAAAACATTCGTCAGACAATTCTGTTGTTATCTTCATGGAATCCTTACACAATATATTTATTCAGATGAAGTAATATAACCAAAATATTCCAATATATCTTATTCAAATTTGGAAAAGCGCAAACTAACCTATCATCATCTGAGACAAATGCTGCTTTGTCATTAGTCTTAGGTTCTTTAACTGAGAATGATATTTAAGTCACATGCTAAACTGCATCTATAAATAATATCAGCAGACAGCAACTTTTTTGGCGAAAATTTTCTACAAATTAATTTTTAACAAAACTTTCAAAAAAGTTTCTTGTAATGCTGTGATTGTACTCTTGGTTCAACCATCGGTATATTTTTTCATTGAACGGTCAAAAATTTGCACAAAACTTTTCTAGAAAACAAGTTGAACATCAACGATACGACTAACGTGAATGAAATCAAAAGAAAATGTTCATTAACAAAATGACGTAGTAAATACATCCAGCAGAAAAGTGATGGACAATAAATCGTTTCTAAAATATAACTTCGAACATTATTTTTTTTATAAAATTTGATTTGTGTTCTAAAAATGTTTATGCTGTAAAAAAGTTCAAAAATCTTCGTCACTATCACTGAATGAGAAGTTGTTGAGAACGTGGGAGTTGGATGATGACGAGTTAGCTAGGCTGTGCCTCAGTGGTTCTGTCTCGTCGTTCAACAAGCGATGTCTGTTGTGCTTCTGTTTTGTTTCATATTTAATCATTATTTTTAAAATTCAAGCGAATCTGAAAATTTAATCGTAATTAAATATTAAATTACATTTCAACTTTTGAACTTGTGAAACGATTTCAATGTATGTTTGGTGTGTTGAATCTGAATGGAAAACCTGAAGGTAGAATAAAAGGTAGCGTCAATTGAAAATGGAAAAACCGCTTATGAAAAAAATAATTCATAATAACTGTTAAATTCTTTGCTTCTTTAACCGGTGTGCTGGCTACTGCTTTCCGCCTTTTAAGCATCTGCACAAAATATTCACTGCATCAATTAAAAGCAGTAAAAACTATTAAATAATAAAATTATTAAAAATTAAAATTGTTTCAATAATTCAATTAATTAAAAGTTTAAATTATTCCAATAATAGAATCATGAAACCAACATTTCGGAAAACGGTTGAGAAGCAGAGGAGGAGAAAGATGAAGTATGCAAAGACAAAAAAGATTAAAAATATTCTGTCAATCCAGATGCACCAGTCGTACTTAACGAGGATACCTCCAACCAGCGCGTGCCAGCAACACATCATGCACTGGATGAACCAGGAACCCAGGAAATATTTGTCCTGGCCAATAAAAATTATCGCTTTGAAACGATAATTCAAATAAAGCAAACCAAAACGGACAAATAGATAAAAATCTCCGTAGATTAATCTGCCGCCTATTTCAACTTTTAAAATATTTAAAATTTGGTATACATAATTTTAAATATGCAATACATTTTTGTAAATCATAAAAATAATGTTTTTTTGTATGCGTTATGTGAAAAACCAACCATGTAAGTGAGGTATGAAATTTTGGGGAGGGAGTTGTTGATGTTGGTCTTGAAGGCGATGGTGGTGAGCAGGAGGAGGAATGTGAGCTGGAGACGGTTGGGAGTCAGCTTGTATTCCACTGCGAACGTCGTGAAGGACATCAAACAAATCAGCAACTGTTGAGTAGGTGGAAAAAATAACGACCAGCACCACTTTTAAATGTAAGTAAAACTTGGCGCGATCGATTATTTTTTATCGCATTGTATTTTAAAAGATACAACTAAAAATCCAAGATCATATTTTGACATACAGTTCTACATGAAGGCATATATACAATAGTTAATAATTTTTTGCACAACCGACCATGATGATGATGACGTTCCATATGAAGTACTGGTACCTCCTCTCGGCGGAACATTTAAAAATAAGGAAGGGATACTTGCCGCCAACTGCCTTGCCACCCACGATGATGTCCTCGGTTTGTCCTTTTTCCACCCTAACATCCGACCTCAATATCCACTCTTGCTCGTTGACGAAGGAGCTAACGATGACGGCTGAAGGGGTCTGCGGGTCCTCCTCCAAGACCACATCTGTTGTGTTCAGCTTCGACTTCACCATGATGGAGAGGTCCTACATGTTTTTAAATGTTTGTTGAGATTCATATTTTACGCTCCATGTTTGAATGACAATTATCCAATTTAAAATTTATTTCTTTATTCTGCATTGGACATAAACAGCTTACAATGAACATTCACCTGGAATACACTTCATAAGTGCATCCACTCACCTGTACATCAAACGGAAACTCCTGCAGCTCCAGATATTCTGAAAATTTGCCTTTCAATTTTTTCTGTGAGAGCATGAAGGCCTGGTTGTTGGCGTTCGGAAATGCGACCGTGTTGATCGTCGTGTCTCGTGTCTCCGACAGGATGTTGGCAACAAATATTTTCGGTTTCCACAGAGTGTCTATGTTGACTTTTTTCAACTCCTGTTGTGAATTTGATGAACTGAGAAAATGATATCAACTTTGATGGTCAGTATCGCAGATTTCAATTCAAATAAATGGTAATTAATAAAAAATAATGTAAACATTCATGTAATTTAAAAAATTCTTTTGTTGCTAAGAAGTTACTGGATTAAATAATAAAAACTTATGATTGGTGATTTTTCTTTTCTTGTTTTTTATAGCGCCCTTCACAAATGACTCAGATGCACTTTAAAAAAGATGGCACATACCATACGCACAGATAACATAGCTACTAAGCGTATGATACAAATCAGACAGTGCACATTGCACGTGTGTACATCTACATTGTACACTTCGGACGAAGGGTAAATACTGTCAGCAGTCACCCGCCATTTTATATCTGCCTCTCTACTGGGCACTATGAAACGCCTCTTGGGGTCGTGAATGAATTATATGGTGACAATTAATTGAACTACTTTTTGTGTGTTTGAAAATTTATCAAGGATAAATAATCAACTTTATTTATTTTAAATTTATCAACTAATAAATAATTTAAAAAAATCTGATTTACTGTTATATAAAAAACCGTTTGCAAACTAATAAGTTTACTAATCAGTAATTAAAACATATGCGAGTTAACTGAGGCGTCCACCAACACCCTAGTTACCAACTTCTTTGGTCTTGCCATCGAGCAGGGCCTCCCTCCACCTGTACTGAATGATGATTTCCGCAGAGAAACACTCCTTCGCTGTGTCTATCTCACCAATCTTTGTGAATATCATGGTCACAAATACCTAAAGACGGCAATTTGGTTTTACGTTTGTAAGATTGTCAAGCTATGAAACGCGAAAAACGTTATGCTTGCGTTCACTCATTTGCCTCAAAGTAACTAATTCTTCATTCACATCGTTCACCTTTCTAGGATCAGGTGGTTTTACGGTCGAACGAGCAGACTTGCTGGCCATGAAAATTTCCCGCTAGCCGATCTATCACGAAATATTCCAGTTGAACTTCCAGGTTAACTAAAAGCTTCAAAAACCCGAAGACCTCATCAAACGTAAGATTGCATATCAAACAGAACAGTGTGTTTTTATTTACTATTTCCATAATAAGCGGCGTAACCACAACAAAAAAAAACAAACTTTAAAGTAAAGTTATTAAAAGAGAAATAATAAACTTCCATCCTATTTATCTTCTGTTTTTAATGTTTCGTAAAATTTTGGTGGGTTAGATAGTTCCAGTTCGGTATAACACCACTACAAGCTGCACATGACATCTTTCCCAACCTTCAACACCCACCCATATCATTGCAAGTTCGGACTGAAACATAACGAAGCAAGTTTTATAAATTTTGTAATATTTTAATTCGTATACAACATTTCGTTTCGTCGTTTGACAGTTTTTTTTATATTTTTTCATCTTTCTGAAATTATTTGATTAGAATTTCATAATGTAAGATCGATATAACGAATCAATGAATTTAATCTCTTGATTGTTGATGTGAAATGCACTTTTACATGAATTTTGAGTTGAAAACGGCGCAAGAAATACAGCTACCAAATGCAAAATAAAAAATAAAAAGACGAATGCAGAACTGTTTATGAGGAAATAAATTAATGATTATTACGGGAAATATTATTTCAAAATGAACAGGTATACAAGTCATCGTCTGCTCCTCGACAGAACAATGAACTGTTTGTTGAAATATTTCTATTCATGACTCTTCAACATTAATAACATCACATCAAGTTTGATGATGATAACGATGACAACCTAATGATGATGGCGGCAAATAAATGAAGATGTTGACAAACTGATGAACTTGATGAACAGGATGATGATGATGGTGCTTTTTAGAACATCGTCAAGAGTTAGAACTAAACCTTAACACAAAAAAATATAGAATGCTGTTCATTGATTGCTAGTGTACGATGGACAACTTGCTGCAAATTTCTAATTAATAAAAAATAATAAAGACCATGATAATAAATAACAATAAAATCAGTCATATGGAATTTGAAACTAAGAAAACTATAAAAAAAATTTGGAATCAGTTGGAAACAAAAAATGAAAAAACGAAATCGTAAAAAACCAGTTTTGAAAACAAGGAAAAGTCCAAGTAAAAAAATTAGGACCTTTTGAACAGAAAACCGGGTGACCGGTTTACGTTTGTTAAAACCGCACTAACGACAGCATGGAGGAGAACCCTGCGAAGGCCTTCCGAGAATGGGATGATTGACATTACAAAATGGACTGGAGACGATAAAGTGAATATAAATTGGCCAAAGATAGGAAAGAATTTCAAAAATCGAGACCATCGGTCTCAGAGGTTTAAGGAATATAACTGATGTGGTACCGTGCACATGGGGTCGTGAGCGCCAAAGTTTTAATAAAATTATGGAGGATTCCAGATAATCACGCACATACATTACTAAATGAAAAAGCTATTAACACTTTGGCAAGGTTAAAGCAGAACATTACGAATGAGTGTGCCTCATGTTCTGGATAAAGTTCCGTTTGGTGAGGATAATTTCAACTACTCATTTCTTTAGTTAGGCAAGCCCAGAAAACAGCATTAACTTCTCACTTCCTCAAATTGAAACAACTCTTCACATAAAAATAAGCACACACACCGAAACGTGAAGTGATTTGACGTAAGTTAGCATGCGAGTGCAACAATAAAGTATTTAAGCGAAATGCAACGATCAAAGAACTTGCATATTAAAAAGAAGGCTTCAGATGAAATGGAAAGGTCAAACGTCAAATCAGAAAGGCCAGATACCAACCAGCAGTTACAGAAATATTGAGTATTAGCCAAACACAAATGACCCCTACTACTGATCATATTTAATAAAGTAATAAATAGAAACATTGAACTCGAATGTTCACTGGTGCGGCGAACGAATGTGGGAGCATCGTGTACATTAGCGCGGGCAGTTTAGAGCAATATAATGAATAAATAACATCACGCAGTATAAAAATATTACATATACGATACTTTAGAAACAACGCCAGTAAGTTCTAATTTTAATGAAGAGTCGATGAAATATAAAAATACAAAGTTTCATAACGATAAATAATAAATTTATTTATTACTAGAGAATGAAATGAATAAATACATGCGCATGTGCGATTGAAAAGAGTGCGGCTCGCCATGATGGTCAACAATCAACTGAACACAACACCATGAAGCCATCAGCGAAGCCATCAACCACATGAGAGGTAGTCGGTAGATAACATTAGCCAATGTAGAATCATTGCTTGCCGCTGTGGTTGTTGTGGTTGCTAGTGTTTGTAGCAGGTGCAGGTGTTGTACTAGTAACAACTGCAGCAGCAGCAATAGAGGTAGTAATAAAAGCATTAGTAGTAGCAGAAGCAGTAGTAGTATGAGTAGCCGTAGTAGTAGTAGTAGTAGTAGTAGTAGTAGTAGTAGTAGTAGTAGTAGTAGTAGTAGTAGTAATAGTAGTAGTAGTAGAAGACGGAGGACAAGAAGGAAAAGCAGTAGTGGTAGTAGCAGCAAAGTAGCAGTAGCAGCAAAAGTAGTAGTAGTAGCAGCTATCGCCATTTCAACTAGCGACATCACAAACAGGTTGTCACATTTCATCAAAATTCAATTTTATTTGAGAAATCTCAGAACCAAGATGAGAGCTGCTTGTAAGGGGTGTTGTTGTTTTTGGTGTTGTAAAAGTTGTTGTTGTCGATGGTGTCAGCGTGGATGGTGTTGTTGGTGGTAAAGTTGTTGTTGTTGTTGTTGGTGGTAAAGTTGTTGTTGTTAGTAAGGTTGTTGTTGCTGATGGAGGTGACATTTTTGATATTGTTACTGGAGTCGTTTCGATGTTGACAGTGTTAATGTTGTTGATGTTGTTAATATTGTTGAAATTGTTGTTGTTGATATTGATGAAGATGAAAATATTTTTGCTGATATTGTTGATGTTTTTGCCACTGACGTTGATAGTGATGTTGTTATTGAAGTTGTTGTTGATTTTGATGATGCCGTTAATGTTGTTGATGACGTTAATGTTGTTGTTGTTAATGTTGTTGATGATGCTAATGTTGTTGTTGTTGTTAATGGTGTTGACGTTAATGTTGTTGTCGTTGATGCTGTTGACGATGGCTGGAGCTTCAAGATAGATTGAGCTTCCATTACGTTCTGAAAAAAATTAATACAGGATATTGAAAATTATTGATGAAATATGTTTGAAAATAAATACATGAAAATGTTGAAATGTCTTAAAAGCGATCTGACCTCATTGAAATCTAGGTCAGCAAAAAGTTCTTGAATGAAGCGCCTTGCCTCCAATCGAAACTTGGAACCACCCAACAACGAGCTAATCTCGCTGTACAAACAAATGCTGTGGAACATCTGAGGAAACTTTTGCTTCAATCTGATGATGGGGGAGAGCGGCGGATTTGAAAATTATTTCGAAAAAGAATAGCAATTTAATAAATAGCAAACAAATTGATCGTTAGAATTTATCGCCGTTTCATGCATAGATGAAACGGCGATTGTTATGTATCAGAGTGGAAAGTGGATCATTAAAATGGAAGACGACAGCATACATTGAAAGGTTCAGTTCGGTGGATTTGGAGGCCACAGATGACGACAGGAGCAGGGAAAACTTCAAAATCTCCTTCCTGATTGCTGCCTCATCTTCCTCACACACCCTCACTGAAACATTTGGTGAGAACTCGTTCGGTGAATAACGATGGTGATGTGATGTAATAATATCAGAAGTTCATAGGCATGTACTCGCTTAAAAAATTATTAACAAAACAAGAGACAATACTAGCCAACCAACCAACCAAACAACTAACCAATCAACCAAACAACCAAACAACCAACCAAACAACCAAACAACCAACCAACCTGTTCCCCTTGAGCAAATGAAACAACCTCTAGCATTGTGCACATTAAAGACATCAAAATATTTATTGAAGTCAAATTTGGCGGACACAATTTCTGTGTGCAAATCTACAAATGAATGTAACGAGACCAAAGTTCGATGAAACATGCAGTTGAAATGAAAGAGAATTATGAGATAGTCCTCACCTTGGATGAGAATTTTAATAATCAAATTTTGAACTGGTCAGAAAATAAACAGAAAGTCTTGAAAATAAAAAAAAACAGAAAGTACGGTGAAGAAATAAAAGTGCAGTTTTTAGAATATTTACGAAGAAAAAAGTCGTCGAATGTGTGAATGAAGCTGCATTGAGGTGAGGAAATATATTATTCCTTAATATAATATATAATATAATATATAATAGCTAATATATTCTGCAAATATAGTAGTGTAACTGAAACTGAATTATGATCACAATTGTAAAGATCAAATCATTATCATCATCTTCGTCATCATCATCATCGTTATCAACATTATCATCATCACCACTATTACCACCACCACTATCACCACCACCACCACCATCATCATCATTACCGTTGTTTGACATCTTTAAAAATTCCTTTTTTAACTTGTTGTTATTAGCAATCCGGTGATGATAGTGATACTGATGATGTGGATATTGATGGTGATGAGGATGATTGTGGTCATAGTAATGATGCTGAAGATGATGATGATGATGATGATGCTTCGTATCGGATTCATCAAGGTTCTGTAGATGTTGTCAATCAACGGTGGAGTTGGAATGATGGGGAATAACGACGATAACAATTATGATTTTAAAGTAATAGATATATTATCATATTTAAAAAAATATAATTTGTAGAAACATAAGGAATAATATTAAAAATTATTCCAATAGCTAATTAAATGAATGTTCATAAAACATCCAGGAAACGTGTTTTAAACCAAATCTTAATAATAATAATAACAACAATAATAAAGTTTAAACCTAAATAAATAAATAATTCAAGAAATTAATAAAGATTTAAAAAAAAAAACTAAGAACCAGCCTGGAAGACTTGTGAAAGTTGGAGAGGCATGCCGATGCTGATGAAGACATTCGAGCTGCACTCGCCTGCCCCTCCGTCACACAGCAGCTTCCGCAGGTTGCTATTTATATCAGACGGGGAATCCCGCAAGTTCAGGTTATTTATAGATTTGGGAAAGAACAGTGCGCGATTTGTACTGCAACAAAAAGAAATGAAAAAACTTTCGTTTTATTCTAAATTTCAATATTTTTTTTTGATTTAAAGGCATTTATTGCAATCATTATTTAGTAATTGTAACGTTGTAACTGGGGTTGAGATCGACTCCTGAAAGACTTACGATGGGCAAAATTAATTAATTTATTTGTTATTGATTTCATTTCACGGATCTCACATGTCACTTCAATGAAACACATTCACGATACAATACCATGGATTGTCAGTATTAAACATCACATAAATAATGAAAACAAATAAATAAATAAATGATTGATTGAATGAATGAATGAATGAATGAATGAACAAATGAACAAAAGAAAGAAAGAAGGAAAGAAAGAAAGAAAGAAAGAGAGTCCTGCTGAAGCCTCTGAACGAGGAGATGTAATGAAACAACGCCAGCAGAAGAAGCAACAAGATAAAGAAACATCAACATTGATGGATGGCAAATTTATAATAAAAAGACATACATACAAACATCAACATAATATACAAGCGCATTATAAAGGACAAACGTGATACATGAAAATGAAAGCAGAATACAGAAAAATAATATACAATCACGATACACCAAATGTATGAAGAACCACACCTTGAAGAGTTGAACTTTCGTCCAATGCTCATGCGTATACTGTTCCTGTGTGTGTGTGTGTGCGTGTGAAGTGTGAGAGAATGTGTGTGTGCGTGTTTGTGTGTGAATGTGTATGTATGCGTGAATATGTGTGCATGTGGGCGCGTGAGTATTAAATTTTGTTATCAATTTGATTAAATTTATATGAGTGTGATACAATTACTATTGCTGCTCCTGCTACTACAACAACAACTATTATTACTACTGAACCAAACTACTAATACGACAGCAACTACTACTACTAATAAAAAATAATAATGAGACCATTAATAATAATAATGCAATGGCCACCAGACAACCATTCGAGTCAATCATTCATTTGAAATCATCTCATCACATCATTGTCGCAGTCTTCTGGACTACAAGCAACAAAAACGATGAACAAACATGAAGATGGGTTGGAGTACAAAAGAAACATGTACGAACCGCAAGTCTAAACTTTTCGTCTTTGTATGCCTCGCTTTCACTTGTTTGTCTAAATTTTCTTGACTGTGTCGCTTCTGTTGTGGTTGTTGTTGCGGCTGTTGTAGCGGCTGTGGTTGCGGCTGTGGTTGTTCTGAAAAGATCTGTTGTTTTTCTTGCTGTTGTTGTAGTGATGTCAAACTGGACGACACGACGGGCATTGTGAAACTGACGACGTGTTGCTTCGGTTGAATGTTCTCTTCGAGATTGCTTTTGTTGTCGAGACTGAGGCCAATGCTGGTCTCATCGTCGTTGTTGCTGTTGCTGGCGACGTTCAGATCATTCTCTGCACTCCCCCACAGCTGATCAATTTTTTCCGACTTTAAGGTTGTCTTGTGCTCGTACGATCCCAAATGTGGCCTCTCTTTTTGAGTCCTCGCGCTCCAGAAAGTTTTATGCGATCCTCGTTTCCTGTCGATGGATTTAAAAACAGGATCAGACTCCCGCCGTTTGCGTCTGCTGGGATCAGATTCGTTGTTCAAGTCAAACGTATTTGAAATTTCATGGTGGGAGCTTCGTTTTTGTTTGATCCTCAATTTGGAGAACAAACTGGAGAGTATGGTGGGCACGAGATGGTGGTGGGGATGTGGGTGATCCTGCGAATGAGGCGACCTCAAAATGGATGCCTCAGTTCTTGCTTCATCGATGTTCGCTGCAGACTGGTTGACAGCTTCTTCATCACCTCCGCCAGCACCACCATTCTTAAGTGCTCCCTCATCACTCTTCTTATCAGCCGTCAGATAGTTTATCTTCAGGTCTTATGGAAAAAGTGATTTGAAAATAATTTCATTTCTAAATATTATAGCATAATAGTGAGGAAATGTTATCAGAGAAAACATAAGTAGATGGGAACCTTTGAAAAATTAATTCTCCACATCAACTACCATGGCCTCTCTATTCCATCTTACAATACCTTCTTTTTATCTAATTCGAACCATTCCACATATTCCTCCCTACCACTTCCCACTCATCTTGCCAGATGGTTGGTTCATCCCGCCCTTCACCTTGCGACCCTCACCTTCCACGTTTCCTCACTTCCCACTCACCACAATTTGAAATCACCAGACGCGCATACGCACAGCAGCACATAAAACACTTTATCCTGTATTTATTGTTTTTGCGTTTCAACACTTTGTCGAGTCATTTCTTCGTCAACATGTTTTATTTATTTTGATCATAATATTACAGCATGTTCTGAGTTTATTAAAGTTTGATTTATAAAATGTAAAAAAAGCCNT